GGGGGGGGGGGGGGGGGGGGCGGCCACACACACGCGAAGAAAGGAACGTGAGTGTGTGTGCTCTTGTTCGAGCGGCGCGTGGAGGAGGGGTCACCTCGGTAACAAACCGCAAACAACGCTATTATAGACGATGCTGCTGACTGATGATGTGGTTGATGGTGTACTGCCGAGAAGCAGCGTGCTCGTTTTCTGTCTGGGTGCAACCAAAATAAGAGAAACGCGGTGCTGAAGCACCAGCATCATTAAATGCGCCCCAGCGCGTCACGGCACCAAGAGCAACGTTTCGGACGGGGAAGGTAGGCCATTCTGTCTCGCCTCTCTGTTGGTATCTACGGGGTGTGCTGCGCAAAATTACACACAGCTGCAGATACACACAGCCGCAGCTGCAGCTGCAGCTACAGGTGGGTCATGCGTAGCACATGCTCACCCACAGCACGCAAAGGTGGACTTTGCCAGCATGTGCGCTGCAACGCACTTTAACTTTAGCAGCAAAGGGTACAAGACCAGTTTATCTCTCTGCCCTACCTCAGATGTGCCCAGCTGGTCCATCCTCTCTCTCCGGCCATCCTCTCCCCGGCTCTGCGGCGAGAAAAAAAGCGCACGAAAATAAATGGCAGCAGCAGAGAGTACCGAGAGAGGCAGTTCTTTTTTAGGAGCGCGAGGGCGAGGCTTGTCGCGATCCCAGTTTCCAGCATGGTCGGGAAGCCTCGTATTATTATCGGCGCACCTCAACTCAACCGCGCGTTCCAAGACTGTCCTGTACACACGACTCGGAGGATGGCCGGAAGCTACATCAGTTCCCCTCTCTTTCTCTCTCTCTCTCTCTCTCTCTGTGCCGCTGTGTGGGAGCAACACCAGACTATTCTCCCGCGGCAAGCAGAAGAGATCAAAAGTGCCCTCCTTTTCTGGCGATCACTTACCACAAGAGGGGACGAGTATACGTAGCCCAGTAGCTGGCTTCTTCGTTGGTGAGGCGGCATGCCGGGCCCGAAGCTAAGGGAGCGGCCGCCGGCCTCTACGGTTTCCATGAACGACGCTACGCTGCACAAAACAAATGCGGGAGCTCGGACTTGTTTGTCGGAGAGAGACCTGAAGGCCGGCGTGGCGGCGACGCGATGAAAACCACCATGCAGTCCCCCAAAAATACATGTACGGGGCGGGGCCCTATCTCAATTGCGCCGCATCACCAGGTGCCAGGTTCTGTCCGTGCGCTGTGTCGTGTGTGTCACTCACCCACGACACCAGTCCTCGGCCCACGCCGCTCTTGGACTGTTGAATCTTTCCCTCCCCCACTGGAACTTCAACGTATACGTGCGAAGCGTTTTCCGCCTGTTTTTGCTTGCTAAAGGAGCAAGCATGACTCGTGTTGTTCTTCAACACCATGCCGCCGCGGCAGCCCGTTTGTTCCTTCGACGTGCGGCGGCCGTCAACAGCAGCCACCTCCGACCATCCTCTCCTACGGGCGCCTCGATTAGCCAGCAGCAGGCGCGAACGTTGCACTACACTCGGTGTCGTAGCCTCAGTGGATCCGACAAGGCATCAACGACGAGCAGCAGTGACGACAAAGACGCTGATGCAACCGCACAGAGGGCGCCTAACACCGGCACACCTCCCGCCGCCGGGGGCATCTTCGGAAACCTGCCCGCTCGCACTGCCGCCGCCCGAGCGGGCCGCGGCTGCCTGATAGCCCTCCCTCTCGCGGGCATCGGGTTTTCGGCCTGGACTTGCGTTACGGACTATCGCAGGGTCCGACACGAGCTGAAGCTCGCGCGCGTGGGCCTCGCCCTCGCCGAGATGAGCTACCAGCGGGACGCCGGCCGGAAGGGAGACGGCGGCGGCGGCGGCGGCGACGCGAACTCGGCAACTCGGCCGACGTTCGACGCTTCTCCCGCGCGCTCCTTCAGCGTTGCGTTGGTGGCAGACGCGGGCGTCTTGGGCTTCCACCTTCTCGCGGCGTACGGGTTGTGGCATGGCTGGGATCCGGACCCCATCGTCAACGCAGAGATAGGCAACTTGGTCGCCGCGGTCGTGTCGACGGGAGGGGGGTTGCGCGGGGAGTATCTGGCGGCCAATCGCAACGCCGCGGAGGCGTTGGCACGCGGGGGAGGAGGTACGCCCCCTAGCGCTCGAGGCGACGGCGGTGGCGAGAGCAGCGGCGGGGGCAGTCACGAGAATACCGTCTAGCCAAGGAGGACCCGCGATCCCTCCAACAGCGACGCCGGGAGCATCTTACTGCATCGAAAGAATTGATGCGGCAGGTTTTGGAAGCAGAGGTAGCGGAGGAGCCCAACTTGTTGTGCTACGTATCTGAGAGAGGCGGGTGTTGCACACCGCAGAGGTATGGTGTAGGGTTCAACTTGTGGAAGACTGAAGGAAGGGGTTGGCGACGGCTATGAACCTACATTGAGGAGGAGGAGGCCACCAAAGATTTGTGGCGGGAGCTTGGCTTCCTTCACGAAGCGACAGATTTCTGCGAATTGGGCAACATAATCGATAAGCTGATAAACGTCTTGTGCTTCGGTTGCCCTTTCCTGGTCGGTAGCATGTTTCAGTCATCGAGGTTTTCGGTCAGCTGGAGAAGTTGTCCTTCTTTGCATCAGAACAGTGTCGAATGATGAGTTTCTCACCTTTTCTCATGTCTCGGCTCCTTGGCGTCGTCATGGCGCGGGTGTGGTACCATTTGGGTCGTTACGGAAGCCTTTCAGCTCTTGGAGGGCTTCTCCAATACTTTGAGTTGCAAGTGATGGCGACAACAGTACATCCTTGGTTCGCTCGTGCTTGGGGAGGGGACGACTTTGCGAAGGCCTTGTATGAGACCCTTCGCACTCGTGTGCTGAGCTCTGAGGCGCACTTGTGTCGTTACCTTGTCCGGTGCTGAATCCCCTTCAGGGGAGTCAGGTTCTGTGGTGACAAAATCTTCGAAGAGACGGTTTTCTGCACACTTTCTTGGGGGAACAGTTCGTTTTCCGCGTCCTATTGGCTTTCATTTGTCTTGCTCCACGTTGATTTTCCTTGGATCGACGTTCTCAAGACTCCTAAATACTGGTAGTCGAATCGAATGGATAGAAGCGTAGCTGCGGCAAGCGTGCGCACCCTTTCCACAAGTTTCGTGCCCAAATTTCGGTCGGCTAGGAGAAAATCGCGGCCTTTTCTCGATCTGTGTGGTGTTTGCCGACACGCGACACAACCCTGTCTCTTGTCTCTTGCTCCCAGACCACCGGTCAGTTGGCCAAGATCATGCCGCGCTACGAGAAAACTCTCACGCGCTTGTTGGAGCCAACCCGTGAAGAAAGAACAAAAAAAAAGAGCTTCCGAGAACGAGTGTCGCGAAGGGCTAGTCGCGTGTCTGTTCAGCGATTTTTTTCTGCTACAGTTTGGCCGCGGGTTGGGCATGAGCGTCATGCTTGCACAAAATCTCTTTTTTAGAATCGCTCCGTTGCGGTGACCTGATGCAGCCGTCTTCCCGAAACACTCTTCCACGATGGTCGAGTCGAACTCGTGGAGGATGGGCAAGGTGGATGACTGCCGAGAACCAGTGCGACAACGGCTAGCCGCGCATCTGGTCAGAGTGGCCTGTGACAGTGCTGCCACTGTGGGTGGTATAGCGTGACTGTCGCTTTTCCCCTCATCTCAAACGATGTACATCGGCCAAACCCGTTTCTTGTCTTTTCCGGTGACATCCACGACCAACCCACACGCCCTGCGTACACAACCACACGTTCCGCGCCATGAATCCTATCTGCTTCCCATTGTAGGCGTCGGATGGCGGTAATATTCCTTGCGTTCTCCTTGCATGCAAAATAGCAACCGGTCGCTACTGGTGTGTTCCTCGCACACAAGTACAGCATGTCCCGATTTAATTGCAGTGCCTCTTGGGCCCGAGCAAGTGCCGCCGCCGCTTTGGGGGGCGTCGATCTCTGTTGCGACTGAACACTTGATTGTTTTGGAAAAAACAAACTCATTTTCTTGTCGCGGGCGTGGCTGGACGGTAGTGACAAAAGGTATTGGGCTTCCGGCGAAGCCCCGGCTACCTTCGTGATACCACTTGCTATGTATTGCTATGGTTCCTCCTGACTTAAGCCCGGCTTGCCTGGAAGCAAGGCAACACGCCCGGGTGCTACATTTTAGGGCATATGATGTCTTGTACCACACTTGTGAGGCATGGTGTGGTCGTCTGAACATCCTGAGAATGTGAGCGTGGTATTCCCAGCTGTTTCCCATGGTTGTGTGCCCCGCGATTCCTCGATCATGACACATACATACTGTACCACATTGACAACGCAGATTGCCTCCGGCAACCTTGTTGATCCTCCAAGAGATTCACGATAAATATTTTATGGTAGTGTGCCATCGTCATGATGAGGTACTGTGCGTAGCGACGACGGTAGAAAACGGAAAATCAAAGACGAACAAGCATCGGCTAGTCTACTCAAGCCGATTCCATCTGCTGCAAACCCCACCCCTGGACCGATTGTATATGTTCGATTTTTCCATGACGAACAATATTTGAAAACGAAATGAAGAGTGTTCGGAAAGCCACGAGGCGGTGCCAACGCCATCGTTTTCGGCGCAGCAGCTGTTTTTCTGCAGAGAAACCGAGCTTTCAAAATCGGCTCAGCGGGAGTGTGGATTCGATCGTATAGCAACCGAACGTTGGTGCATTGCTGGTATGTGTAATAACGAGATCGACACAGCATGGAGTTCAATGTCGCACGAACGACGCCCTTTTTCGACGAGTTCGACGTGCTTAGAATCCACCGACAACGCGTGGATGAAGAGGTGTGGAGTGCTTATTTTCGGGCACGCACTCCATCGTCTCAACGCTTTCGTGGTTAGAATTCGAATGTAGAGCACGAACTGGTTTGCTCGATATTACTAGTCGGGACTCGTCGAAGTCCTTGCCTCAGCGCTCTGCTGGAGCATGCGCACCAGCTATCCACGAACACTTCATGGTTCGATTGTGGCTACACTTTGTTCTTGTTTTACCGCAACTATAGCGTCTCTACCCCCTCAACCGCAGGAGGTCCTTTGTTTGAAATACCGACGTCGAGCTACCTCTCTCTCTTGATTGTCGATGTTGGTCTCGTAAGATAGATGCAGAATATGTAATAGGACGCACCGAGTATTCGTGTCAAAACGCGTTGTGTCATTGGCTGCGCAACGACGCGCACTTGCCCCTCACCAAAATGCGTATTGACCAACCGGCGGACCTCTCGGGTCCCAGTGTTTCTACACATATTTGAAACACCTTGTCGAGACGGCACTCTTTTCTCGCAACGATATGGACAAACGCCAAACACAAACTGGAGTACAATTTAACCATCATTACAGGGTCGACGGAGGTTTCACCACTCATATCAACAATAAAGACAGTTTACATCAAGTGTCAAGTATAGGGTACAAACAATATCCTATTCTTGGGGACGGATACCAACAACGACTATTTACCTGTAGAAGTGGGCACTGCAGTAGCTCAAACTCGGAAGTGAGCTCGCCACCTAGACTACACCATGAACATAATTTTGGCAAGAGCCGTGGGTTGCCTTTTGAAACACACAAACTCTCAAAGCTTACATATCGGGATTGAATCACCTCAGGAAATCGTGGCTAAAATGCTACAACCATCAGAGAATATGATGCTTTACTTTGTGTCAATCTAGTCTCGACTGGGATTCGGTCGGAGACAAACATACACCGGCCGCAAAATCAATGTTCGTACGCACACCGTTTGGGTCTACTGTATGCTGTGGCCAGTACGCTACATAATGACGCACGCCTTGGAACGACCGGCGGCCCCGGGTGCAGGCCCTCTCAAAATCCGTGCCATATTTGCGTAGTGATCAGAGCTTCGCTCGTCACCTCTAAGCGCCAATCCCTCTCCCGCGTAGTGTGCTGCCGCGCTTTCAATGTCCCCAAACTTTCGCTGGGCCTCGGCTCGGAATGCGTCATACTTTTCGGTTGCACCCTCTTCTTGACCTGACATGTCCAGGGCGACGCCGTAGAAGTAGTGCCGGATGGGGTTGTCGCTGTTGCGGTATTCTTCGTGTCTCCTGGACGCGTCCTTGATGTCGTCGAAGGTCCACAGCCGGGCTTCCATTTTCCTCCTCTGCAGCTGTCGTTCCCATGAACACCTTCTTTTCAGTCGCAACGTGTAAATTACCAATACTAGGTATAAACTCTATTGCAGACCACGTGTCAATTCAATGAACCACGCGAGGTTTCCCATCCGAGCGTGCAGACGTGCAGGCGCTCACGGTTTGATGAGTCTTCGTACAGTCCCGCCGTCCCTTGTCGTTCATTCTCGTAAAACTCAAAAAAATGTAACCGACGGTTCGGGTCTCTTCGGACAAACAATGGGGGTATCCGTGTAAAATCAATTGCTGCCATTGCGGTGCCCCCCCCTCTCGCTCCCGCAGGCACCACACAGACCATGCCACAGCAGTGACAGGCCGTGCCTATCTGTGCATGCGGCTCCGCCGCTACAGGTAGACGCAAGCACCGGCGATCCCACGGCGCGTTGCTTCACGAACTCTCCTGCTCGAAGCAGCGCATGTTTTAGAAGTCTCGCCAAGCATACGCCATCATGTCGCACGACAGGACCGTGATAAGGCATGCTGTGGAGGAGATCGGCTTCGGCTTTCTCACGGACGATGACATCAGGAGGCTCAGCGTCAAGCGCATCACGTCACCAGTCACGTTCGACACGCTCAACAACCCTCTGCCTGGGTGAGTGCCTTTCAGGTGCAACTCAAGAGCAGCAGCAGGAGCAGCCTAGGCAACAGCAGCATGTTTGTGGGACCGATACACACACGCGCTCTCGCCGGTTCGTTTGCCCCCCACACACACATGTTCGCCAGCGTCGGTGGAGAGTGCAGCGTTCTCCGAAAGTTGACTCTCAAGCACGCTTGCATTCACCCTCTTGTGTTTATTAGCATGGCAATTGGGTCGCTGTGCCTTATGCACATATCTGCATCTTCCAGTACTTCCAGACATTGGGCAATTTTCTTTGCCGAGCCCTGGTAGCCACCCACCAATCGCAAAATCACCGCAGGTGTAGCGCCACCAGGCTTGCCGGCACTCAAGCACTCAAGTCAGTCTTACCGTCAAGTGTCGAACGCCATTGGGCACGCTTCATCGACGCCGCCCGTCTTTCGGACCTCGTCTGGATGCGGCACTGCTACGGTGTAGCAGCTCGGTTGCTTTTGTAGATGAATATTACTCTGCTGCTGTCTTGAAGTAAAAACGAGCCCAGCGGCAGCAGCAGCAGCAGCAGCGGTGGCAGCAGCAGCAGCAACCGCAGCAACCTTACGTACACGTGGATCGTGTCCGGTCATGACAACCGGTGAAAACCCGCCAAGGCCTCCGTAGGATTTAGCGTACAGCAGTGCTCCATTAGCTACCATCGCTGCGATTTCGGTTGCTTGACCGAGCGCAAAGTTGTTGATGGACTCCCTGTTACTTTTGTTCATCCCACAAGTCCGCGTCCGTTGGACCGTAATTTACGGACATTTCGAAGTTGGAGACCCGAACGGTTTTTACAGCAGTAGTGAGAACGACAACGACAGGGAGAGCTGGTCAGCGGTCGTCCCTCACCCGTTGCGGACGTGGGGGGTTTCCTCCATCATCCCCAGCGCATGTATTTGTGCCGTGCGCGTACTGCTGTACCAGCCGCATTCCGTATGTACCCCTCCAGTGGGTCTTGTCCGCTTGCTTGCTCTCTCGCATAAGGCTACCTTGGTACGCACTTAACATTCATCTCCTCCTCTGGTGACGCGCAGTGGCCTCTATGACCCGGTGCTGGGACCTGTAGATAAGATGATGATGTGCGAGACGTGCGGTCAAGATCAGAAGAACTGCCCGGGGCACATGGGGCACATCGAGGTAAGTCAGTCGGCCGACACGAAGTGAGATTCAGGCACGAAACCTGTAGTCTCTAGATCTGCCTTTTGGCCCCCGGGAGCGCAAAACGCTGGTGGGCCTTCGTTCCAAAGTGCCCCCCCTCCCGTGTTCCCGACATGAGACGGCAGTTGAGTTCCCTGCTTGAGGCCGGCGCTTGGCTTCGTACTTGTAATGTTATTCTGAATGGTGTCTGGTGCTCGATAGAAGGCCGACGTCTTCTCCTGACCCATAGCGGCCCTAAACAGGGAACCACTCCTGCAGTGTTAATCTCGAACACATCGCGCACACGAGCGCGCTGATGTTGATTCCTAGTCTGCCTTTCCTCTATACACCTCGGAAACTTTTCACTGGTGTTTCTGCAAAGTTCTTTCTTTGTTTGTTTCAAAATCGTCATTCGTGTTCCGCCGCGTACGTCATCGCGTGCCTTGACGTGTATCCTGAAACTTGCGCGCAGCTAGCCGTGTCCGTGTATCATCCGATCCTGTTCGGAGCCCTGTACAAGCTCCTGCGCGCCAAGTGCTTCAGCTGCCACAACCTCCGACTTTCCAAGAGCAAGACACGCGTAGCAGCTGTGAAGGTGAGAAAGTTGGCATTGGGTGCTTATTGTAGACATACTGCTAAATATCCGATGTTACCTGTACATATTTGGTTGACTATCATGTTGAGGCACCTACAGCTGGTTCAGTAATATTTTAGCGGGGATTTTATAAACGTTAAAGGGTCTTACTGATTTTTACGAATCTTGACGACTTTTCACGCAAGCTTCGACATATATTACGCTTTTTGTTTGTAGTCTTCGGGTTATTATATAACGCGGCAGTACATGGATTCCTCCTCTTGGGTGCTGTGGTCGATGTTCACACGGTTTGCCGCACAGCAGTGCTACACATGGGTTTCTTTGAGAATCCAGTTTGCTTGTCCCACACGGGCAAAGGGATGCACTCTTTGCGGTGACGATAAAAAGTTATCCCTGTCTTACCCGAGTCTGGTTTATACCGCTCCCCATGGTGACAGATACCTGGTAAGCTTCCGAGCAAAGATCCCTCCGTTGTTGCGACCATCTTGCTGCCGAATCAGTTTTGCCCACAACTGCATGCCGTAATTTCGGGTAAGTTGTCCCGCTGAAATTCCTCAACCATTTCCAGGTAGATTGATGTATCTTGTTTCATGGTTTGGGTAGGCTCATGCCGGGTAAAGCTGTGTTCGGTAGCTACCCAAACTTCCGCCATAATAAAGTAAATGCCGCGACGGTGAAAAGTTAGCCCTGTCTTGCCCAGGGTGGGCTGCTGGCCCTCCCGTATAGTGACAGATGCCTTCCAGTTCTGACCATGTTTTTCTCTCCCGACTACAAAAAACATTCATGTGTGCTCACTGTTTTTTTTTTTCATTCCTCTAATGAAGGTTTGCCCCGTGCGCCTTTATTTCGGCGTTTGAATGGACGAAACTTCCCCATCTTTGCATTCATCGAACAAAAAATAGTAATGTACTAACTGGGTATGTACAGGTTGTTCGGTAGCTTGACATGTACCACTCTGTCGGGAAATATGGTGACCGTTGTTGTGTTGGCGCTTGTATCAAGAGTGTCCTGATGTTTTCGAGAATTTTGGTCCTTACTCGTAGTAATCATTCAAGGCGTGGCGTATGCGGTGACGATAAAAAGTTATCCCTGTCTTACCGGAGGTTGCTTCCAGCTTGCTCATATGTGGTGACAGATACCTGGTAAGCTTCCGAGCATATGTACGCCGATTTGTTGTGTATTATTTTGTTGGCTTCCGCTTTATCCGGAAACAAGACCTTTTTGATTTGATTTTTCCCAGACAAGTGTGTGCTCTACCAATTTATCGCAGCCTTCCGGGGTCACGAAGAATTGTGTCGACGCACTTGCATATGATTTACGAAGTCTTTGTGCAAGGCTGTTGTGCGCAAAACACCCGCTACGAAGGCGAGAAAGCGCCGCATGTCGTTAGTCCTTGCGAAAGTTGGAGGAAACAAGTTCGAACGCCGGTGACTCCACCGCTTGTTGTTGAAGTGACCCCGGAATTTGGGTCGAGGGGGTTAACGACATTGCGGTGTCACTCGTGAAGAGAGCGGGCAAGTATACATACGTGTGATGATTTTGCATGCGCCGAAGATAGGTTTAGTGCGATACGATGCTGCTTGTTTTGTTTGGTGGCTTCCAGGCTTCCCTTGCCGAGGACAGCGCAGGCGATCATTGCAAATCCATAGACGAGGGCGTACCCTGGGCCGGCCGTGCGTACCGACGATCCATGAAAACCAAGCCGAAAACAGCTATAACGTCACTAGGCGCGTGACTCGGTTTATTCAAGAATATGCGCCTAAATACATAGTCTGGCGCCAGCATGATCGGACCAAAACACAAGCATAACCACGTTTCCTTGTGGTTTTTCAGTCTGACCGTGGCACGCGTTTGTTATGCTGTGCCCATCTTTTCCGCTCGTGTCGTGGAATCTGCCGTCGTTGCAGATGATGCTTGTAGATGCTGGTCGAGCGCAGGAGGCTCTCGAGCTCGATGCGACCCTTCTGGGTTATCTCAAGGATGGCGCTAGAGATCACGACGTCCTCGATGGCAACACCGAAGACACGCTGGTGTCTGCAACCAAGTAAGACCCCCCACCCCCCCGCCGCATGCTTGAATGTACACGAGCTGTTGCTCGGTGTTGTCGGCTCGGCTCGTTTCTTGTTGAACCCTGATCGACGTTGAAGACGTTTGATTTTTGGCATATTTTAGTTCTGTGTGCTAGGGAATTGCTGTTGGTGTCCCGATATATCTCCCCGAAACGGCTTTCTGACGAAACAGCGTGACCGCGAAGAGATACCCTTGGCAATCTGTCGTAAACACTGTTTTCGAGCGAGTATCGTGGTGGATGAACGGCTGTCCGTCGTTCGGATGAAATTTCGTTGAAAATGTTGTCCAGCATTGACATGACATCCTTTTGCTAATCTGCCGCTGAATGTTGTGTTGTTTTGTTGCCAGGTACCGGGATCACGTGCTCGGCTGCCTGGAGGAAGACCTCGCCGGGGCCCCGCGGGCAGAATGGTGCGGTGGGCACAACAGACAGCTGAGGTGAGACAGACCGCATTTCCCACGTGCACGCGTTGTAATTGGCGATTTAGATTTGACGTCGCCGAGTCACACGACGTATTTTGTAGTCGTTATGTAGCCTGTGGTGTCCCTCTTACGAATAGCTGCGAAGGCGTGCCGCTGCCCGGCGCAGCAGGCGGCTTTTGAGGAGTCGAATTTAGAGCGGGTTTTCAACAGAGAGATGTGCGCCCAGATGGCGTCTCGCTGCAATGCTACGGTACCCACCCTTATATGCGTACCTTGGGTTTGTACGTTATCTTACCTGACATTAACCCATTTTTTTTGTTTTGTTTTCAGGCGGCAGCTGGCCGAGAACTTGATCAAGGCCATGGGAGCCTGCAAAAGGTGCGAGAACTGCGGCGCCTTCTCCCCAAACATTCGCAAGGACGGCTCCAACAAACTGTTTCAGGTAAACTACCATAGACGGACACACAAATAAACCTTTTTGCCTAGCGCTACCCTTACCCTTGCCCCATTCAAATTGATCGGCATTGGCACGCAGTTAGTGGAACGAGGGAATCGTTGCTTCTTTGTCGTGGGGGTCGTTTAGTTCATGTAGTGTGCGTGAAGTGTAGTGGCGGTGAACAATATGAGGGCATCGTTTTAATCGTTGTGGGGTTGGTTTTATCCATGTCTTGTAAGAAGTGTCGTGGCGTTGCCGAATGCTGCGGAACTGGGCGCTTGAATGTGGAGCGATGATTGCGGCCGCAGTCAGCCGTTGTGCTTGTGTGTTCGCGATGACGAGTCATGTATTTTGTGTTCCGATCGGCTCTTCGGGGCTGCAATGACGACACATTATCATGCTGCCTTCCTGCTGAGCGATTAACACACACGGGTGAATGTTGAATGAATTGCGTTTTTTTTCGTCTGCGTCACCTGTCCCTCAAAGTCGCAACCGGTAAGGCGAACGGGGTGGTTTCTGTTGAATCGGCATCTTTTGGCCGTTCAGGCTAGCTGCCGTAAGCATGGCTGCAAACATTGAGCCGACATCTCTGTAGTGTTTGTCGACGGCCTTTTCCACCTGTCACGACGGTTCGTGGTGTGTGTTTGAGTGTATGGTGTGCAGTTGTGGTTGTAGAGGGAATTTACTTTCGGCGAGTTGCACGAAGTGACTTCGAAGGACCTAGGTTTAGAGCGCCTCCGTACCGTACCGGTGCCGTCTGATTGGCTCCTCACGATCCTCAGTATTCTTATGGCCGGGGCAGGGGTCCCCTTTTTGTGTGTGATTTGTGCGCGAAGAGCAAAACGGACCCCTCTCTTTTAAAAATGAAAGAACCCGTGGTAGATGACCGTTTAAATTGCAGTGTTGTGCATGAACCCACTTGCTTTTCGACGTTTTCCGGAGCAGCATCCACGAGATCTCTCCTGTGGGTTACAGGCTCTGCAACACAGATAAATTATATACTGTATGATGTTGTTAGATGTGGTACCCTTCCCTCACGGCTGGCACCGTAGCCGCAGGTGCACGACTTTCTCACCCTGAAATCGGTCGCCGTTCGTTACAGCGAATAAATGGCAGCGCGGAGTGGCTTAACAGCTACAATGTTAATAGTATTTTCAGCACTCTGACGTCGGTTATCTCCCTCAAATCACAGTAAAGGCGGTGCGGAGTGGCCAATGGTCACCGGAGTTTATTCCGCACGCATGCCAATCTCATCTCACCTGGACGGTCCACCACATCCAGAGCATAGGAATATTGTTTTTCGGTATACTCCTCCATGGGTGTGATATGCTTTGGAGCTTGGTGTTTACCGTGACTCTAATTATCTTCACATTCATAATTTTTGCGTCACCTCAGGTCCGACTTTTTGACAAGAATCGCAAGGCGAACCAGTCGTGCAACACAGAGATCGTCTCGGAATTTCGTGCTTACAGTGACTGTAATTGTCTTTCCCTCGATAACTTGTTGTGTCACCTCAGGTCCCGCTTTCCGACAAGAATCGCATGGCGAACCAGTCGTGCAACACACAGATCGTCTCGGCAGTCCAGGTAAAGACCGGAAAATCGAAGAAATATGGTGGTGCGCTTTCTATTTTAAAACTGTTTTCGTAAGATCCTGCAAGTATCGGTCGTGGATAGAGATGACCGAGGTGCGTTTGCTTGCTTAGGATAGGTGCGTGCACGATAGGGATTACGCGAAAAAAGTTGTCCCTTTGCCGCTACTGCGGTAGGAGCAATCGCTCTTCGTCAAAAGAAGGAGTTTTTTCAGAGGTGCGTGCGTAGATTGCGACCACGTGTTTGCTTGCTGTATGTTGGGCGTTGTATGCACAGTATTGGAGCCCCGCACTGCTGCGTGAGAGGAAATATTATTTTTGGAGAGATTTTTTTAATGGAGAGCAGGTCGAGTGGTGGGTACAGCTCCGGGTCCTCGTCTCGAAGGAAAACCCCTAAGAGAGTCCGAACCGAGGCTTTCCTTCGTCGTCGCCGTTATGGACGCGTGCTTTCTTTTCCTTCTTTGCGGTGCTGGATTGCCCTCGCATTCCTGTCATTCACATGTTTCGTTGTCTATGTAGTTGTCCGCGCCTCTCGGTTTTTCAACCGAAGGTTGCGCCATCCGCTCAAGTCCGCCTCCTCTCATTATTCTTTTTCCCGTTGAATTCGTCCATTTCAGAGACGGGACCCTGGGAAACCGAACGAAGACCCCGGCGACGACTCCGACCCGATGTCCGAAGACAGCGACTCGGACGACGGCGACAACCTGGAGGATGACGACGTTGGGGGCTCCGCGCCGTCGTCGAAGGTGGTGGGGGTGTCCCTCGCGGCGGCCCAGGCCGCCGCCGGAGACCCGGCCACCAAAACGGGGGCGCAAGCCCACAAGTTCATGCCCCCCATTGAGGTGGAGCTCCAGATGCAGCAGCTCTGGAAGCTGGAGAGCTCGGTTCTCGATCTCATCTTCGTGTCCGGCAGGCGCACTCGCAGTGCTCCTGGTGACGTCAACGGCCCACCGTCTTTTTCTTTACAGAATGCCAACGACCTCGCTGGCGGGAGCATTTCGGATGGGTACCGTTTGTTTTTCGTGAGAGCCCTCGCGGTGCCCCCGCCGAGGTTCAGACCCCCCATGAACATGGGGGACATGATCGCGGAGCACCCTCAGAATGTCTACCTCACCAAGGTTGGTGCGGTTTCAGGCATGTTTTGCTACTTTCCTTCACGTGTATGCCAGTTGGTGCGGAATATAATCGAAGAATACCGAATTCTTTTTACGCAGTAAATTCGAGAACTTGGTAGGTTGTACGGTCAAGAATGCGAGAATACCCTTTTGGATTTTCGAGCAGTGAATTCGGATTGGCATGCAAGGTGTGATTAACAGCATGTGGGGTGGCGCCAAAGTTGGCGTCATGTGCTCTCTCCTGTCTCGCTGTCTTGCTTGACAGCGATCGATGAGGGGTCTGTCTTTCTGCCATCTATATCGTTTGTTTGAGCGCGCGATCTCCTATGCTCCTCATTCCAGAAACGGTGGCGACATTGACGACTTGGCCGCTAAAATGGCTGTTCGCGAGACTCTCGTCGTGATATCGGTTGTTAAAACCGTTGAGCGGCGTGTTTTCGATTTGCGAAGAGTGTTAGCCGCGTGCCTACATTTGGCTGTTATTCGTTGTCGGTGCTGAAGTTCAGAGAGTGGTTTGTTGGATGCGACCGTGTAAATCAGATCCTTATTTAGGGTCGGTGTTGTCATGGTGTGTATGCGCGCACATCGTATATTGTCCTCTCGTCTCGAAAAAATAACGTCCACGTCTCACGGCTGGCTGTTGATGTAGTGATGCATTGTGTTTTGTTATTATTACATGTGCACTGGATTTTGCCGGGGCAAGTAGTGCTGCACCCAACTCAATGCTTTGTGAATGGTTGTACTCCAGGTGCTCAATCTGAACGAGAGCTTGAAGAACGCGGCCAGCCTTAAGGGGAAGGACCTTGCCAGGTAAAGCTTTTGGCAAAACAGTGTACAGTAGATGTAGATCTATTTCTGTCGATAGTTGTTGCTTTGGTCGTGTGGTAAGCGGGAAGCTGCCTCGACCGAAAGAGTGACGGACGTCTCTTTCAGAAGGAGACTTGGATTGCGGTAAAGAATTTGCGTCATTACTCTAGGATTCGCCACCTAGTTTCAGCTGATGTGATTTATGCATTTATTCTTACTCCCCCGGGAGCGTGAGGAATAATTCGCGAGCTTTTTAACACTGATGAAAATGTGGCCGTCCTTTTTGTGCGACTCTAAACAGTTCTTTTGAACCTGTCTTGATGAGTGTTAATCGTTCCATGAGTGCATTGTGTGGGGTTTAACTGAGCTTGGAGTTGTATACCTCCTTTGCTTCTATCACGTTGTTGATTTTCGCCTGCTGAAAACGGGCCCTGTGAGCGTTCCTGCAAGTTGAAGTTGTTTGGGGCCTAGGACATGGCGGAGCCTGGAATTGAAGTGCCTGTTCACTCCTTTTTTTTTTGGTTGTTTTTCGATCGCTTAAACGTTCCATGAAGTGCCTATAAAGTCGATTCTGTTTGGTACCTATGGCTTGGCGGCCCGTGATGTAAGCACTTTGCCGACTTCTGAACCCAGAGTGAAGATACGACGAGAACCTTTTATCTACTTTACTGAGGCCGCCTTTTTGATATCCAACTATCCGGCCTGGCATGTACCCCTTGCCCCGGCAGTGTGCGTTAGTGCGATAACATTAATTTGTTTCGCGAGGTTGTCGGCGAATGAAAGGTTATCAAGCGTACGGGTTCCCGCAAATGTCGGACTCGCCGGAAGTTTACAGCTTTCGAGACACGAGCAAAAATGCGAGGGTTTCGACTCTCACCATCTTCCAGGATGGTCTACTTGCTTGTTGTGGCCGAGGTCTGAAGCTTTTGTGGTTTGTTGTCAGCGGTTTGCCGGAACATTCGTTTTACGCCCAAGTTCTGCTGAACTCGCGGCACCCCCCGTTGTGCTTTTTCTGCTGCTGCCTTCCTCTTCCGCAGTGTCTTGACGACGTGGGTCGAGTTGCAGACAACGGTGAACTGCTACATGGACAGCAGCAAAGACCCCCGTGGGTTAAAGGATACTCCGCCCGGATTGCGACAGGTACAATATAGTTCACACTTGAGGATAGTATATCAGCAACCGCATCCCCCTACCCTCGTTTCTGTTTCCTCACTTGACATCGATTGATTCATACTCTTTTCTCCGGGTACCATTCTCTCGTAAGCGTTTGCGTCGGCTTGGCCGGCAAGACTAAGACCTTGTGCCTACGTGTCAGAAAATGCCACTCCGACGACATTAGGCGAGATACACTTACCTCGTCTCATCGGCGTGGTTCCACATCGTCGACACGGCGCCTTTATCTTGCCGGCTAAGCCAACGGAACCTCTTGCGAAAGGAGAGTGCACGGTTTGACCAGTTATCTAGCAGCGTACAACATTCCCTGCTTCGTCACTATTTGCCATAAGGGTTTGATCGGCGACCGGTTGTTTAAAGGCGCGCGTTTAGGATACCAGTTTCACCCCCGACGGTATGAGGCAAATAGTGGCAGCATCCTCCGCTCGCCTCATTTCCTAAGTAGTTTGTGCTGGAAGCCTTGAAACGTGGCCTTTTCTATCGTCTCGCCGAGGGATGAGGACCTGCCAAAAAAGCGGGTGTACGGTTTTACCATTCATCGAGCATCCGTATACCGTGCACCTGCTCGTTGCCACTCCCTCGTCGTCGTAAGTATTGACATGGTATCCTGGGAAATGAGGGCTCGTTTCTGTGATATACATTAGTTCCAACCCGGACGAGATGGGTCCATGTTGGCACTGCAATCGAAGAGACGGGCTTTTTGCCACAGTTTGCCGATTGAACCCTTGCGAGAGAAGAGGAAGTGTATGGTTACGTTCCCCCAAGTTTGTTCTTCTGTTCAATATATGGTACTTATGTGTGTTTTTTTCCCGCGCGAGTTACTTTTTAGATGGCAAGTTTTGGGGGTAAACGGTAACGTGAATGTGATGTGGCTAGGACCTGTGTGTCTTCTTCATTCTTAATAGTGGTGTCCTTCCTTGAACGCGTGCAACGCTCGTATGCAGCACACAAGATGGTGTTCATGTCAGCGTTTGGTGTGTGTTTGAGGTCGTTGCCTCAACCAGCTCTTTGGCGTCGTCGGTGCTGCCTGGAAGCAATTATTTTCGTGTTTCTTTTGTGATGCGAATGGTTTCATAAGTCTGTCGGCACGTTTCGAAGCCGCGCAAGTCTAACAAAGGTGGCTTGTCGCGGTCAAATATTCGCTGCAAGAGCAACAGTCCCAAAATGGGATGGCTAGAAGTTTTGGGTGGGAGGGGTTCGCGAGAGGCCTGCACGGTGTCCTATCTGGAGCCGCTGCACGCGCCCGCTCTGGTCGAACTTACTCTCAATAACTTCGCGTGCATTTTTTGCCGGGTAGCTGAGACACTGGTTTACCGTGTCGTCATTTTTCATTAAGCGACCGTCGAGGTGTGAAATTTGTTGTTTGTTACGTTTTTGTTCCGGCATCAAGTTTTGCAGAAGTGTTGTGGGCGATACCCCTCATGACGAGGGCCTGTCGTGGTTTTCAACAGGTTTTCGCTAGCCCTTACGATGATGTGGTTGTCGTCCTTTGGGCGTGGTGCTGCAGCGGTCGTGCATCATATGATGATGCTTTGAACTCGCTTATACGGACTGGGTGTGCACTCAGGCTCCCCGGCGTAACTTCTTGAACAGGGGACGGTGTCTTAAATTCCCCCTTATCGTGACCTCTCACACCAACAAGGTCCTGGAGAAAAAGGAGGGCTTGTTCCGCAAGCACATGATGGGGAAGCGGGTGAACTACGCCTGCCGCTCCGTGATCTCCCCCGACCCCTACGTAGGCACCACCGAGATCGGCATCCCCCTGCGTTTCGCCAAGGAGCTTACGTACCCGCAGCCCGTGGCGGACTGGAACGTGGAGGCAATGCGACAGCTTGTTGAGAACGGGACGAGCGTTTATCCCGGTGGGTTTTGTTTATTGCCTTGGTGGTGGTGTGGGTGGCAAACTGTTTGTGTGTCCGCGGCATAGCTCGTACATACCCGTTCTTCAGTGGGATGATTTGTGCTGTTGGTGAACAAGCGTGTTGGATGTGTTCGTAAAATTTCCATGTACCCCATCATTGTTTAATAGAAGTATAATTTATGTTTTGCCAAGTTGACTGAGGCCTGTTGGTTTTCACGGTATTGTGGTGGTATTCACACACTGGCAGAGAGTTGAAAACATATATCGATTTGGTTTGTTTCTTTTCTTGCGATATTGACGTAAATTTGTTCCAGGAGCGAATTTCGTCGAAGACTCGTCGGGTCGAATGCTTCACCTCGACAGACTGTCGGACTTGAAAAGAAGAGGCGTGGCGGCCAGACTGCTTTCCAGCCCGGGGCAAAAGGTGGGTAGGCAGATGCCGGATTTGTTCGAGCACGGGATTGTGATTTGCGGAATAGTACAATGTTGTTGTCTTAACCGTTATTCGCATAAAGGAAGGATATGTTGTGTGGCTTGGTTGAAGATGTTTTTTTTATACGTCGAAAGAGTATTTGAACCTATTAATAGCGTGTTCAATGCGCAATATGCGCCCGCGGAGCTGTTTGGGTTTTTTCTCGTCTCAATTGGATGACCGCGCAAGTCATGATATTTCGGATGTCTCACAAGCTGATGGTGAAAGCGTTGTTGCTGCCTAAGACCGATGGCGTAAACGTTTTAACACGGATCTTCCCGGAAAGGTTCTTAGAGCACACGCTTATTATGACATGCTTTTTCACTTCTTTTACCACTCCGATTGGCAACTTCGTTTCCGGTCATGCCAACTTTCTTGGTCGTGTTGAAAGGTGTGGAGGCATTTGACGGACGGGGACTGCATGCTTGTGAACCGCCAGCCAACCCTCCACAAGCCCGGCATCATGGCACACCGTGTCCGCGTCCTCCGCAACCCGGGGTACCAGACGATCCGGATGCACTACGCCAACTGCAACACGTACAACGCCGATTTTGACGGCGACGAGATTAACTGCCACCTGCCGCAGGTGCGCTAGCTCGAAGAAAACGCTGTGGCCAGTCTTGTCATCTCCTACGAACGGGAGCAGTATGAAACTGTCAATCGTCTTTCCTTGTCACGTAGTTTGTGCGGGCTGTGAACGCCTACACAAACAAAATCATCATCGCGTGAAGAACGAGTCGCGATGGGCTTGTAGTGTTGTCCAGTTTTTTGTGCGAATTCGCCGAATGAAATCCAGTGTTGTTATTTAGTTTATTGTGGACATCCGAGTCGGATGAAGATATCTTAACGAAACAAACGCTGACTTATATGCCATGATCATATAACACAAAAGCAACGTTGCTATTCTGACGACTCGGATGCCCTTTTGAGTTTTCTCGTACAGTTAGACTGTTCCAGATGTAGTCCCTCGTTTCGTAGAATATGGGCAAGTCACCAAAACCGAAAGTTTGTTGATTTGAACGGGACCGCACGTGAACCACGCGTTGTCGTTGCGCACGAACGACAACCCCTCTGGCGTTGCTGTGCGTCGGGTGCTCGTCTGTCTCCATCGCTTATATAAGTACGTTTTTTTTTGTGGTTGTCGGGTTTCTTGCAGAACGAGTTGGCGAAGGCAGAGGCGAACCTCCTGGCCTTCACCGACGAGCAGTACCTGGTGCCAACCAATGGCAAGCCTCTTCGAGGCCTGATCCAGGATCACGTCGACGCTGGGGTGAAGATGTGCTCTAAGGTGCGTCGTAGCCGCTGTTTTACCGATGAACAGCTTTGTTTGTTTTTTGTGTTGTGAGATATATAGCATTTGGCGCCCGAGATTGAGGAACAAAACTTCCAGACACATTGAGCCTCAATTTTCACGAAAAATGTTGAGAAAGTAGGGTGGAAAACATGGATCAACCGTGGTTGCCTAACCACGTTCTGTACGACAGATTATGGGGGCGACGAAAGAAGAAATTGAGCGTCGAGGCCGCGTTTATGTCGCGTATACGTGGACGAACACTTGGGTTTATTGAGTGTCAATCTTGTGCCATGGTGTACTCACAAACCAACATATCCGTGTTACTTATCTTGCACCGTACACGCTGGTGTCACTGGGTATACAGGATTGCTTCTTCACAAGGGGCGAGTACCAGCAGCTGTTGTACCAAGCTCTGTCCGGGTTGCCCGGTCTCGAGATCGTGCCCCCTTCTGACGACATCACAACCTTGCCCCCGGCGATACTCAAGCCGCAGCAGAGGTGGACCGGCAAGCAGGTGCGGTCCCGTTTTGTTCCGGCAGAGACGTTTAGCAGATGGAACACGAAACGAAATACGCTGTTCCCCCGTATATTCGTCGTATTTTCAGTAGCCGTTTATTACAAGATTGATTTTGCTTGCTTTTGGGATGACCTTGCCGATGCGTCTTGTCGATTTTTCGAATTATCCGTTACCAGTTGCTGTGTATATTTCATCCGTCGAATGAAGACCTTACCCACAAGAAACATGCTGTTTAACAGTTCTGCCGGGTTAAAGTTGAGGGGAAATAGTTTGCGCACTACGAACGAGGCGTGTGTCTCCAACTGGCCCGTATTTTGTTTTCGTGGCCCATTGAGAAAAAACTGTCGCTGTGCGCTTGCTGATGTTTCGTTTTTGCCACGACGGCAGGTGATGTCCACCATCCTCAGGCACCTAACGAAGGGATTGCCGCAGCTCAACCTGGACGGCAAGTCCAGGACCCCGAAGGTCGCCTTCGGCGAGGCAGAGCAGGAGCACGTCATCGTTTTCAGAGAAGGGGAGCTGCTGCAGGTGCGTGCTTACCGCGTGACCACAGCCGTGTTGCCCACGACGTGAATCACCGGAATTGCATAAGAAGTTAAGTGTTAGATGTGGGTTGTCTGGGCACTGGAAAACAGTATCAGCGGTTGTGTCTGCCGGCGAAGAGAATGCGCCTGCGTACTTTGACTGCACCTAAAAGTGAAGCTAGGAGACGAATGGTCAGACACGGTTGGGCAAACACGCGGAGGTTCTCTTCGGGGAATATCAAAAACAACGTGTGAAAGTTAATTAACACCTTCATGCCTCCAATGTACCATCTACTTGCCGTATCTGTAGTGTTTTTTGTCTTGATACTGTATAAGTTCACGTTTATTTGTCCGGGAAGCTTGTCAATGAAAGGCGAGACCCGCTTGCGTTTCTGCATTGCAGGGAGTTCTGGACAAGGGGGCGTTCGGTTCGAGCGAGTTCGGCCTTGTTCACGCGGTGCACGAGGTTTACGGCTCCACCGCAGCGGGCAAGCTCCTCACGGTAAGCATCCTTAGAAACACTGTTGTTGGGTTGGCGCCAGTCACAAGGGGAAAGAAGCCCGGATACCTTCATGTGACGAGTGTTGGCCTTGTACCGGAACGATATTGACTTGCCAGTTGTTGCAAAGAAGTTGTCGCGTATTGGAAACTAGGCGAGTGGTTTCTGACATTCGCCGACACACCTCTCCGCTGATGGGTACAACTCGCTCGGTCTATCTTTCCTTACCTTCTTCTTTGATGTATTTTTTTCATGTGGCCACACAAATGGGCTGATGGTTACAACTCGCACGGTCTCCGCATATTCTCCGGTTTCGATGTCTGTCTTGCTTGTATGTTGCCGCTGTCCTTCATGGAACACCAGGCTTTGGGTCGGGTGTTGACAATATTCCTCCAGTCTTCGGGTCACACTTGCGGCATCGAAGACCTTACCCTGACGGGAAGGGCAGAGGGCAACCGACGAGAAATCATCAACAAGGTACGTACGTTTGAAGATACCGTGGACAGGCACATTGGCAATGTGGAAGTTTTTCTTCTGAACGATCGTTTGGCGTGCGCTGGCACCTGGGGTGCTGTGTAGCGTCACCAGGTCGGGGGTACGCCGCAAGCCTTCGTTCGATCAACCATTCTTCCGACTGCTTGGAGATTTTGGGACGCGCTAGGTCTACCGTCGATAACCATGGAGAGCTTGAAATGAAAGGATGTTGGTGTTGATTTGGTCTCGAGAAGCGGCTGTCTGATTTCAGTAAAAAAATTATTATGCCATAAATTGTCGTTTCAAACGATAATTTCCGAGGTGTCTCGGTGAACGCGCACGTGCCGTGATGGAGAAACACGTCCAACACAACCGTCTGAAGCCTTCCCCTTGAGACATCATGTATCCCTCGAGGGGCGGGGGTCACTGGAGAGATGGCAAAACGCCTCCTTTTCCCGACTCCCGGGCCTGATGACCTGGACTGGGTGAACAATCTCTGAGCATGAGCGTGACAACGGTTGTACTCGAGTAGGTTTGGTGTTGATAATAAGATCTTTTTTTAAAATTTTATTAAAACTGACGAATGTATTCTTAGCTGCGAAGTTCAATCGGAACCTGCCGCAGCGGCGAGCCCGGCCGCGGTTTAAGCGCCGAAAACTTATTCTGGGCGTCATGGGGCGCCCCACCGTGAATGCCGAAGGCAGTATAACCGCTTTTCCTTCCACTTTTCAGAACGGGACCCCTCGACCCCGACCTGATGCGGCAGGACGAGGGACACGCGCATGAGTTGTTTCAACTTGTCTCCCCCTTGCCTCCTGTTTACCGTGTCGCCACTTGGTCGCACAAAAGACTTCGCGGTGGTTCGTCGAGAGGCCTGCTTGCATTTAGGCGCGCCTCTTGCAACTTGCTACGCACCGCCTTCAGGTCAACCATCCTTTTTTCCGTGCTGACAACAGCACCTAACTGTACAGTGGTTGACCGGAAGGTGGTGCGTAGCAAGTTGAAAGAGGCGCGCCTACAATGAGAGCTTCTTTCTGTAGGCTGCATAATTTCAACGTATTTGACGTGAGTATTTCTCGGTGTTTTAAGTGTACCCCCACGAAATCCAATTGGAACTTGTTGCAGTCACTCGGTATAGGCCAAAGGTCAATGCGAGAGCTCGTTGAAACCGTGGCCGCAGAAGGACAGGATGCCAAAGCCATCGCCAATGGGGCGGCAGCAGAGGAAGGGCACGAGGATACGAGTAAAGCCCTGGTGGAGGCGGAAGTGGAGAGTATCAGGCAGAAGACGGCCTCATTCTTGCTGGGCGAAGACAGGTGAGAAAGTTTTTTTCGGGGTGGTTTTGTCGAAGGCATTGTCTTTGCATTTTGATTGCAAGACGTCGTCCTTTGCGCGTCATGATGCTCGTCGTATTCTTGCATTTGGTGGCCCAGGTGTACGTCATCACGCATCGTTGTGCACGAAGAAACTGTTTAGCCAAGTGCATACCACACCTTATGTACATGCTGGTCGAGGCCAATGGAATACATGTGTCTGTCAGCATCGAGTCCGTGTCCTCGAGGTTCATGAGACTCATGTAACGACTCTACTGCACCGTTCTTATCCGATGTGCCCCCCAACAGGGACACCCGCCTAGCCGAGATCGACAGACACATGCAAAGTGCTCTTGCCCCTGTTTCGTCGGACATCATCAAGGCGTGTCTGCCCGGCGGCCAGGCGAAGCCCTTCCCCCACAACTGCTTCAGCTTGATGGTTCTTACCGGAGCCAAGGGGTCGATGGTGAACCACTCTCAGGTGAGCATTATCTACCATAATTATCGGGATAGCATCAGTGCTCCCCGTATGGTTGCTCTTTGGGAGTATGTTACTGTGTGCGCCACGGTGTTGTTTGTTTTACCGCGTGATATCAGCAGCACTTGGGATTGGTATTCCAGGACCTGCGTGAGGTGACCCAAATTGCAGCCTTTCTCGTGGAGGCGTAGATGCGCGTTTTTTGTCCCCAGCAACGAGTGGTGTCCAGGGAACAGCTGGTGGTCGCGAAAAATCATATTTTCCCGTGCCTCACCCTCTTCGTCTGCTACGTTTCAGTTCTCACCCTCTTTTGCCTCCTCGCAGACTGTTTCTCACCCTGTCCTGTTGTCCATTTTACAGTGTGTCACGCTCTGCATCTCGTCTCTCATGCCGTTTCTCACCGTCTTTGCCATGTGCGCCCGCTTGCCGCTGGCGTTTGATTGTCCGTCTTACGTTAGGTTTCGTGCGCCCTTGGGCAGCAGGCGCTTGAGGGCCGGCGAGTCCCTGTCATGGTGTCGGGGAAGTCGCTGCCCAGCTTCCAGGCCTTCGAGCCGAGCCCCCGCGCGAACGGCTTCATCACGGACCGGTTTCTGACGGGCATCAGACCACAGGTAAAGACTGATACTGTGTCCGTGATTTGGAGTGTGGCCCGACGGCTGACGTATGCTGCTTACATTGCTTTCGTGCGTTTGGGCACCCTGGGTTGACAGTCGTGTTATACACCCCATTGGCGAATCTATTATTTAGGCGAACTGGGTGCATGGAGTACAAAACTCATCAGAGACCACCAAGTTTCTTGTGTAGTTCGCAACTTAAGCATATTGGATAATCTTGCTCTAGGTTTGGTACGTGGCAATAGTCGGGAGTTGAAGCACATGATGGGTTCACCACCGTTGTTCAAAAATTGTCGCGTGTTTTTTAGTTGTGTTGGGACTCGGAAAACCTTCCCAGTCGACGAAATGCAGTGGTCGGTTGCGTGATGTCTTGGTGCTCCAGGATGACAGTGTAGCAAGCAGTCCCGTGTAGCGCGATTTTATCGGTGTGCTCCAATGAACGACAAATGCTGAAAAAATTCTCAGGTGGTGGTCGGGAGACGAGGACACGCTTCTCCGTCTCCCACGTGGCCCCCTCCTATCATTCGCACAGCAAGAGCAAACCCGTTGTATATTAGGCTGCCGCCCGATGGCACTGCCGCCGTTTTGCAGCGGCGGCGGGGCCCCATGGGAAGGCGGCCTGGAAAGCGGCGGAATAATCGGTTTGCGAAACCCTTTTTCTTCCTGTGTGTCGTAACAGCATCGGGTTTTTCGTGTAGCGGTAGGGTCGAGGTGCTTTTTTGTCCGAAGATTCTAGTTCGGGATTGGGAAAGTTGATCGTCTTTAAGGGTTCCCTGGGCTTCCTGTTAAGGGTTTCGGTTTTATGCGCTGCGGGAGAGTCCCCCACTTAGGTTTAGGGTAACAGGCGTTGAAGATGTCTTGAGATTGCGGTAATATGGTGCATTGCCATTTGGTGGCACCCCTTATATTTCAATGCGACCTGTTCGGTTCGATCATGTGCTTAATACCTCACTATTAATAGTCGCTCTGATTGTCGGCGAGTGTGAATGTTCAGGAGTACTTTTTTAACAGTGTTGCTTATTTTTGTTGCATCTTCGCGAGTGATCAGGAGTACTACTTCCACTGCATGGCCGGGCGCGAAGGGTTGGTGGACACGGCGGTCAAGACGTCTAGGTCGGGATACCTACAGCGATGCCTGGTCAAGCACCTGGAGGAACTGAAGGTGTGATTCTAACATTTGAAGGACAGGGATTGTGGCGCAAGAATTTTTCTTTTCTTGTGTCCTTTTGTCCTACAGTACAATGCCTCTTAGCTGTTTGCGGTCTAGAATAGTCTTAAATGACAAGACTCTGGATATAAGTTAATAGCTCTTTGCGATTTATAATAATGTCCCTGTGACCGATAAACGTTCCAGCTGACGGAAGGAAAGGCCCCGTGAAGATGACTCTTTATAAACCCACTGAATTTCTGATTTCACGTGTGGAAATTTCAAGAGACACCTGTGTTTCTGAGGGCGGCCTTTTGTTGACTATCGGTACGGTTTTAGGCGTCGCATAAAAAAAAATCTCGACTTGATTGTTGTATTGTATACTTCTAACCCTAAGTCTTATTTTTACGACCACGACTGTACGTCCTTGATGGTTAGAGCCGCACTGACTTAAGAAGGGTTGTTGTTGTTTATCCCACATCAGCTCTTTAGTCCACGAAAATGTGGAGCCCGTAGTCGCAAAACCCGGCACATACGTCTCCGCGGGAAAACAAAACAAGAATAGAGTACAAACTACGCCGAAAAAAGAAAACAAGGATGACAGAAAAAAAAGAACAGCTACCGCACCGACCTGTCGAGAAAAGGAGCCCTAGGAAACCGACTATAAGTACGCCTTCCACACCCGCCTAAAAAGTTCAAAGGGTACGGTACCAGCATCAGGCACTGCGCTCCAGGGCATGGAAGTAATGGAGGCAACAGAGCAAAGAGGCGGCAGATTGGCAGACAGCCATCTGTATAAAAGCAATAGCAACCCCGACAAGGCAGAGTAGGCAGGGAGGACATACAGGAGTATAGCATACAGCAGCAGGCAGGGGAATATTTCGTGTGGTCCGCCGGTGTGTGTCACCCGTTCCCCGAAGCGATTGTATTGTTTTTTTCTCCCATCATTGAACTCCACTTCTACTAGCTAGACGAGCCAACCGGGGTCACATTGAAGGGGGGGGGGGTTGGATCCCCTCCTGCGGTTCCTGCCTGAGATATTCTTATCACGAGAAGGGTACAGCAATCCCTTCCCTCGCGATTTGTGAAGTTGATCTAGTTTACACAGAACGAGCTTTGCAGCGCGTCGCTTCCAACTTAGACCAGGTTTCATTCCCGGAAGAAGAGAACTCACGTTGCCGGGACTCGAACCCATGACCTGGCCCGTAGTAGGCTGCGAGGGTCCACACCAGACCACCGAGGCAACCGGCGTACGTGCAATTCGTATCGTCCGTTCGACCGATGTCGTTGTGTGCGTTTTGCTGTTCGTATGTTTTACTCGCTCGGGTGTTCGACGGATCTCATCGTTTCGTCTTCGGCGCTTCTTGTTTCCTTGTCTGTCGCTGATGCGGACTTCCCTCCTCTGGACAGGTTGGTTACGACAACACGGTTCGGGATGGAGAGGGGTGTGTTCACCAGTTCCTTTATGGAGAGGACGGGGTCGACACCACACAGACCAAGTAAGCTAGCGCTAACCATGCTGTACATGAACAACATTTGTCGTAGGCTAGTTACGAACCGCCTCACGATATTCGTTTGGGTGTGTGATTATCGCTGCCGACGAATTGGAGTGTCGGTTGGTGGGACGTATGCCGTAGAATACTGGTGGGCAGCGGACCCAATCAGTCCTGCGCTGGGCCAAGCTGGGAATAAGCCCTTGGTGGAAGAACTGACAGCGAAGGCCGCATCGACCCCTGTGCCGTCCCACCCCATCTCTTTGCTCGACAGGTATCTCTCGTCGAAGCAGCTCGGTTTCCTGGCTCAGAACTACCAGGCCCTCCGACACAAGCACGGCATCACCCCGAGCTTCAAAAAGGACTCCGGGTTTGACTCCCGCGATGCTTCTCGGGCCCACTCCGAAATCGCTACCTGTCTTCAGCGGAGGGACGATGCCGCCGCTAACCCGAGCTCCAGCTGCGCGAAGTTTGTGGCCGGAGAAATGGTCCTTGCGAAGAGGCGGGCGGTGTTGAAGAGGGGCGAGGGGTGGGGCAAGGCTGAGCTGCTGGCGGGCTGGCACTCGGCGGAGGTGGTGAAGGTCAGGAACGCCGGTACTCCGGCTGCATTGTACAGCGTCAGGTGAGCGTGCCTGCTCTCTTCATTCTGAAGGATGACACGAGTGTGTTTGTGTAGTACTGTAGCATGTCAGTTACGGTCACTGGGGTATGTAGTAGCAAATGTTTCTTGTTTTATGTCTCACACCGTGTTTCGACGGGAAAACAGGAACAAAAAAGAGTTCTTAGTTCAGACTGTTTTGGCGTCAGCAAACGCATGGCGGTGTATCCGTTTGGTGTATCGCCCTGTGGTTTCCCTCTATTTCCCGTCTCGGTGTCTGCCCAGTCGGTTTCAGGATCCCTCTCGTTGCCGCCCCCATGTTCTGGTAATTCTCTTGCCGTGTTTTATGTCCATTCATCTTTTATCGCCTGGGCATGACGAGTGGTCTCCTGCACTTGTAACCGGCGAGCGCAGCACCGCCCCGTGATTTCGATGCTCTCCTGGATGAGCACGCGGTAATCGCTTAGAACCTTAGGTTTTGGGAGGTGGGCATGGTTTCGGCACGCGACGGCATGCGGCGTGTTTCGCGGTCGACCTCGAGGACTCTCTCTGCCCCTGTGCACCCGCTCGAAAGAACGGGACAACGCCGACAACCCCACCGCGTCCCAGTCCCTGGCCTTAAACGCACGCAGAAAGTGAATGTCTTGCCCGACATGGATTGTCGGGGCCAGACATGGACTTGCCACGCGAGTTGATGGCCACCGACAGGGATCCGGGAAGGTTGACGGCGTCGCCCCCCTCTTTCAAGCGGGTCAAGAGATGGCGGGAACACGCGCATGCCGTCGCACGCCACAACCTTATCCGCATCTCAAAGCGTTCTTTGTGCTTGCTGTGCCGTGGTTCACACGTCGGAGACACAATAGATCGACCCCAAGGATTTTCTCAGCCTGTAGACGCACCTCTTGAGCGGAGCGTCGCCGCAGACCCTCCCGGGTTCCTGTCCGTGCCCATGAACGCGCGTGGCAAGTCCATGTGGGGCCCGGGAGGGTCTGCGGCGTCGCCGCGTTTCAAGAGGTGCGTCTACAGGCTGAGAAAACCCTCGAGGTCGATGGTGGAAACCACTCCGCATTCTGTCGTTTCACAACGTTCCCCACCTCCCTGAGCCGAACGTCCCGCGGAGCTCACGTCGGGCGCCGCATCGAAATTTCCGCGGACGGTGCCGCCCTCTCCGTATCCCACGTCCAAGCGACCACTCATGATGTGGGTGTTCGTCGTGGGATGTATCTGTGACTTGATTTTGTCGGCCGTACGCATTTTGAGGCGCGTGATGCTCTGGTTGTATCAGCCGATTCTCCTGACGTCCGAACCTATTCCCGTCGCCATTCAACTCGGATGACGCACGCATAAGTCGGGTGTTGTGCTTGTACCGCGACCTTGGAGTGCACAGCACGGTTGGCGAACGCTTTTGTGGGCCCTTCCGTCATGCAAGAATATTTTGTCACGTCTTTTTTGTTCACAAGGCTTCGTCACAAAGCTATTTTCATGTCGCGTGCCCCCCCCCCCCCCCTGTTATCAGGTACAAGGACGATGGCGCCCTGGGCAAAAAGATGCCCGTGTCGGCCGCACAAGAAAGTTCTTCGGAAAGTTCATCGGATTCCTCGCCGGAGGAAAACAACGAAAACGGTCATCCGACATCGAGACGAAGAAAAAGGCCGAGACGTTTGCTTCGGAAGTGCCCAGGAGCGGGCCTGCCCGATCCCGTGTTGTCGACTCTCAGTGTCAACAAGGACTTGGGGTGAGCACACGATTGTAGCGGCATTCGTGCATGAATGGTTTGCCTGGGGGAGATAGAGGCTGCCAAAATCGGTTTGAATAGATTCACTGGGGAAGAAGGGGTGGTTGTTGATGTACGCTTATGGCCCGGTGACGATGACTCTTGAAACAAACACACTGAATTTCTGATATACGTGTGGATATTAAAAGAGACACCTGTGTTTCTGAGGGTCTTGTGTGCAGTACAACACGGTATATTTTTATATTGGAATCGACAGCCTTAAGGCACAGCCGCGCAGTCAGTTACTGTGGGACTCGGGCAGGGTTGCTTCGGTGACCTTGGTGTTATTAAACATTGGCCGGGCTGCTATCGTGTGCCACAGATGCGCTGGCTCACACGTACAGACCATGTTGTGAGTCGAGCTATGAGGAACCATGGACGACCAGGCTTTTGTTTTGGTTCACGAGTATCTACGTACCCATCGCGGAGTGAAATGGATATCATGCCTCTGGGGCGATGACCGTGCCATTGCCCCAGCGGTGGAAGTTCTCGTTGGTGGCGTTATTCTGGCAGCGATAACATTTGCCGGAACCGACGTATGGGACGATGTGATGTCGTTTCATGCTTTACAGCGATAACATATGTCACGGCAGCTTTTCCGACGCCCGCATTCTTCTCGACCTGAACGTTTTCTTCTCTGCACCGCGTCAACAGGTGCGTGAGCGAAGCCTTCCAGAAGTCCCTGCAAGCCTTCCTGGACAGCAACCCGGCATCGCTTCGCGGCGACCACACGAAGGAGAATTCGAAAGCCGTGGCTGCGTCGGGGACGTCGTCTCCTCCCGGCCCCGGTTCCCTTAAGGAGGCGTTTGAGCTGCTGATGTGGGTCAAGTACATGCGGTGTTTGGCTAATCCGGGGGAGACTGTTGGTTCCATCGCGGCGCAGTCGGTCGGCGAGCCGTCGACACAGATGACCCTGAACACGTTCCATCTTGCGGGGCACGGCGGGGCGAACGTGACGCTGGGTATCCCAAGGCTGAGGGAGATCATCATGACGGCGGCAAAGAATCTCAAGGTATGTAAGGAGTGGAGGATCTCGGTGGTAGTATTGCTGTGCTGATGTTCTCATCTCATGTTCATGAATTGTTGATCGTACCCCTTAAGTTAAGCTGGTTGTGTTGTGGTCTTGGTGTGGACGTTCTGTGGGTTCTCAAGAGAGAGTCACGGCGTGTCCCGTTGTGTTCGCTTGTTGTTTTCGTGTGTGACAACGTAAGCGGTATGTACCTGTGACCCGCGGGACCTGTTTGCCAGGTACGGGGTGCAAGAACCCGATTGCATCTCGTGCGTGTTTCAGCAGAGAATAAAACCTGATTGCTCGCGTCCTTGCAACCTCGACGTCAATCCTGTTGTGGTCTGTCCTCAAATCCCAGTGGAGTCTTGCCGTGGTCTTAAATGCATCTCTTGGAGTTATGGTCAATATCGAGGGAGCGTTTGAACAAACACCGCCCTAAACCCCTTTTGTCCAATTTCTCTCCGTTGTCTTGACGCATGCATACACCCAGACGCCTTCCATGGTGGTACCGCTACGCGAGGGTGCCGATCGACCCGCGGCGAAGTCTCTCGCTCTCCGTCTCTCACGCCTGCCCTTGTCGCAGCTGCTTGACAACCGAGGGGGGATCGTCGTGCGCGAACGGCTGGTGAAGGGAGATACGGTGCGTGTTTTTGTGTTTGTTTGGGCTCGTGTGGTATGCCGCACGTCCCTGTACCGTTTTCGGAGAGCTTTGTTGCCCCAAGCCAATTTGCCGTGTGTATTGCCTGCTGGTTTTGCCAATCTTTTTGTCGTCGTGCCCGCTTCAAGGGTACGCAAGGTTATTCTTGATCAAATAAGGTGGCCTTAGAACGGGGGAAGCTCCACGTTGCCCCCCTACGATGCAGTTACATTCCTCGCTGCACCCATGCTTGTGGGATCTGCAGTCTTTCTCCATTGGGTTTAACTGCTGTATTATAGTACATTGAGTACCTTTTCTCTTAGCTGCATCGTTTACATTCTCATTCCGATTGTGTATTGCTCACGCAACCCCTCACGGTTTGAGGGCCTGCCATGGCCGCGGGTTAAAACCTTATATGCAAAGGTTCCGTGGTCTTATGGCAGATCCCTTTGCTTCAAGAGGCACATTGAAATTTCGGTCGAGATGCTGGAGGACCGCGTCTCTGGGGCCCCTATCGTGTTTGGGGACCCAGGGCGGTGGCGGTCTTCGTTATCCCACTCGACCAACATCTGGTCCCGTCGTCGTTTGCCGCTTCGCGCTTCCATGAGTTTTTTATTGTGACCCTGTTGGGGGCGATATTAGGGCTAGCGCGTTGCGTTGGAGGAACTGATTGTGTCAAATGTTGCGATGCCATAAACCACTACTGAACCTTTGAGGTTTCTCGTTTTGAATGGTTGGGAGGTCCGAGGCGATGACTGAACGCGGCCACTGTATCGTTTGGGATTGGTCGTTTGTCGCGGTGTGATGGTCTTTTTGGCAGGGCCTGTGGGAGCGGCACTATGCCATCTGCCTTAAGCTTTTCAGTCCCTCCATCATCAGCATGGCCTTCGACATCAGCTTCAAGGAGGTGGGCTTGTTGTAGGGTAACATAGGTACGCCATGGTTAGGTCGATGTGAATCGTGCAGCGATGGTCAAGTGATTGATTTTACTGGTGGCGAGGCTTTTTGGTCAGCGACCTGTTGTGAGCGGTGGTGTTCCGGTTGCCCCGCGTTTTACTGATAACAATATTTTTCGCGTGACCGTGTTGCCGCCCGCCCCCTACGATGTTGCACTCCCAGTCTTACCATCCGTTATGAGGCGGCATGGTTTATTTTGACATGTTGGCTCGCCGGCGTGTTTATTTTTTCGTTGCTGTTTTTGCTCTTGACGTGAAGTTGTGTCGCAAGATCAGCGGGGTGTTCGTCCCCAACCTTCTCTCAGCGATAGCGAATGACCTGCGGAGAACAGGCAACAAGCTGTCCCAGACCGGGGGCTCCACCGTTGGGATGGCGTCTAGGGGAAGGTGAGCTTGGAGGTTTTTTGGGCGGCATGCCCACACCGATGTAGACCTGCCTTGCTGTGTTCGGGTATAATGTTCGGTGTGCTGGTATGTATGTGTGCCGTACGAGTTTGCAACCTCCCGCACCAACGATTTGTTATTTTGTCCTTCTTGGCGATGTGGGTGGCAGAAGAAGCAAAACATGCTGTTTGGATTACTTTCGTCGATTTTACGCATAAAAGTGCGGCGGCAGAGTAAATATTACAGCACAACACACACACGCGGGGTTGCCAGCTTGACCTTCATATGATTTTCTTGTGGTTAAGTTGTGCTGAAACTGCCTTATTTTATCGTCAGCCGGTTCACGCGGTTAAAGCCAACACGCCCGACCACACACCCTCGTAATCTGAGGGCCTGCCATGGCCGCGGGTTTAAACTTTATATGCAAAAGTTCCGTGGCCTCATGGCAGATCCCTTCGTTCCAAGAGGCACATTGAATCTTTAGGTCGAGATGCTGGAGGACCGCGGCTCTGGGGCCCCTATCGTGTTTGGGGACCCAGGGCGGTGGTGGTCTTCGTTATCCCACTCGATCAACATGGACAAATATTTGCTCCGTTCGGGTTGTCGGAAGTTGTAAGGTTCTCTAAATGACAGACCGTGTCTTGTGTTGATTAGCGGGATTTCCTGCCTTGTTTTTCCCGGTTGTCGTTGTTTGCTGTTTCTGGATGACTCCGATTGACCCTTGCATCAAAGCTTACATCGCTGTTTCGGTAGTGCCTGCGGATTTCGGGACAGCATGCAGATCGAGCGGATGCTCCAGTTCCTTGGTACTCAAAGCGTGATATACATGTTTTCGTGTGCTTGTCGTGTTTGTTATGCCGTTGTTGCGAAGGGGTAAGCGTGCCGATGGGAACGGGGACGAGGAGGAGGACGACTTGGAGGGGGAAGGGTCCGCCATCGCACAGAGCAAGGCTGGTGCGAAGAAGGCCAGCAAGGCTGAGGCCGAGTACGAGAGCGACGTGAGTTCGGCTGTCTACACAAGTTTTCTCAAGCAAAATACTTTATATAAAGTATATGATAGGCTAGGTTGGGGTAAACGTCTGCGTGTGTGCTCCCTGCCTTGTCTATTTCTTTGGTAGTTGGCCGTGTTTTTTTGCACGGGCAGTTGAAAGAACCAGGGGTTGGTGTCCTTTTTTTTCCTCGCTTGCTTTGTAGATGCTAAAATAACTCGTTTAAGAGAGCTCGGGGCGTAGATGTCAAGCGTCCACCGTGCGGTGACTCGTTCCAAGCACGTTCATGGTCTATTGGTCCTTGAGTATTCCTTAATGCTGCGGCGAGACCGCTAGAAGCTCTCATGACTACCATTTAGTGAGTTCCTACATTTTGCGCTGCAACTCTTTGCGATTCCCTCTCTTTGTTTGTCCAGGACGAGGACGAGGAGCAGGGCACCCTCAAGTTTGGCAAGCAGAAGGAGCAGTCTTCTTACGGTGGCATGGACGAGGAAGAGAAGGCTATCTGGAAGGTTATGGCAAAAACAATGTTTGTCGGCTGTGGATAAAATTTGCCGTAGCCCGCCTCAGCTTATGGAATCAACGGCAATGGAGTATGAAGGAGTTGTCTACATGGCGTGGAATTTACCTAGAGTTTCCCTCAGCAAAAAAACGGAGAAGAAGCCAGAATTGAGACTGGAAAGACCTGAGGAAGGCCCCAAGGTAAAAAAAACTCTATGCAAGAGGGGAGAAGCGGCAACGAAACGGCACTGATCCCACCGCGGCAAGCGGTACATTCAAGGTGCCGACACAACTTAAGCAGGATGCCACCACTGGTCGATGCTGAATTTCTGTTGCTGATGAGCAGGAATCCAATTCCCTTGGAGAGAGGGACAGGATGACAGTGCAGCAAGCAGTTATCCCGTGTAACGTGAATTTATCGGTGTGCTCCAATGAACGACAAATGCTGAAAAAATTCTCAGGTGGTGGTCGGGAGACAAGGACACGCTTCTCCGTCTCCCACGTGGCCCCCTCCTATCATTCGCACAGCAAGAGCAAACCCGTTGTATATTAGGCTGCCCCCCGATGGCACTGCCGCCGTTTTGCAGCGGCGGCGGGGCCCCATGGGATGGCGGCCTGGAAAGCGGCGGAAAATACATTTGTAGGATATATACATTTTTTTTGGTATTTTTACATGCTACATGAGCGAGGATGTGTGGTTGACGAGTTCGCGATATGCTTAATACTTGTATTTCACTGTATTGCCGGGAGGGACAGGGATGGAGCGTGAAGAAATGAATATGCCGCGTTTTGGTTATAGCTTGCTAAAGGATGTGGTGGAGTCTTCTCGTGTCGGCACTAGTGCGATGCAGGTTGAACAAGCATGCTTTTGGTGGCGCAGTTTGGTCGGCCCTTGGTGGCTAATAGCATGTGAAACGAGAACGTGGTTCGAGTGTTTGATGGATGACGCCGCGCACAACCGAAAGACGTGATTGCGAAACGCTCCCCCGCCTTCCCCCGTGACGTGTGTCTAATTCCTTGGCGGTTCGTTTGTAGGCGATGAGCGGCAAAGAGGCTGATGGCGGTGTTCTCGGTGATGACGGGGACGATGATGAGGAAGGGATCGGAGGTGATGATGGTGTCGGCAAGGAGAAGGACGATGACAAGGACTACTTCAACCTGCCGAACCTGTCAGGCGCTCGTCACTTCAAGGGCATCACGAAGAACAAGAAGACCGGGGAGGTGGAGGTGACCGTCAGGCTTCCGTCGAGGTGAGAATGCGATGGATGGATGGACTGACCAACCCCACACAGGCAAATTATCTAGTGGCATCAAGAGGACTCTCTTTCTTGCGATAACGGAACAAATTCGTCACTTGTACAGATGAAATAGTCCGGGATGGATAAGCAATGCTGTAATGGCGTCGTATGGTGAACCACCTGTCTTTTCTCAACGAGAACCCGGTCACGACTGCCTCTCATTATTGTTCACAGGTAGAAGTAGACTTTGTTGGATTCTTGGCATTCGTGTTGTACGTATTGCTGGCATTGTAGATGAGAAGGGAAGCGATGGTACGCGTCCCCTCTTGCCACTTTTTTTGTCTGTTCCGATGATTTGGTTGATGATGGTATTGCTCCCACATTGCCCAGCATGCTGTTCCTTGATGCATTGGGTGAATTGCTATTCCGGTAGATATACTGATTGCGATCGCTGGCGCTTGGGGCGTGTGCCGACGTTCAACTTTGGCCACGCCAAACTGCTAAAGTCAACATGCGGGACTCGAATGTGTTGTTGAAATTCGAACGTATGCATAGATTTGGAATGCGTCCGCTGGCGACGATATATGTGCCTTCCACTCCTCCCACGTTTGCTCTCAGCATGCGACGGCTGCTGATGGTCGGGCTGGCCGAGAGCGCCGCAGCGAAGACCATGGTTCGGTCCCACAAAGGCATCAGGGGGGCGTTCGTGGTGGAGACGACCGTCGACGGGAAGAGCGGCCTGGCCGTTCAGCTTGAAGGCAGCGACTTCGAGACGGTGTGGCAGCTCAAGGAAGGCGGAGTCGACGGCATCCTCAACCTCAACAAGGTCAGTCAGTGCAAGCGCGGGGGTTGCAGCAGCTGAGATGTGGCTGCGCGTATGGTGGTGCTGGCTTTGTGGTGCGCTCCTGTTCAGTCCGTATGTATTGCATAGCTCTCGGGACTTCCGGCCTGCGATATTCCCTCAAGAGGAAAGGGCGCATGCGGAGAGCTAGGTAGTCGGTCTGTCATGTACATGCCGTAAGCGGCGACGAGATTATACCCCTCGTATTAGCGTAGACCGGTTCTCAATGCTCGACTGCTCGAGAACCAAACCAAGCTTGTTTCCAACACCAAATATGATGGTCTCGGGAACTCCTCGTCGAGGGCCTTCTTTTTTGGGCTCTTTGCGCGCCCAATAGGTTGTGGGACAAAGTCGGTGTCATGTCCTCCGCCTCTTGGCGGTATCATACCTGCTGCACATCACCTGCCCCGCATAGACCCCAATGAAACACCACCCTCACGACGATGTCGCCATGCTCCCGCTCTTGTTGTGCAGCTAACCTCGAATGATATCTGGGCGGTGTGCCAAACGTACGGCGTGGAGGCGGCGCGGGCGTCGATCGTCGCCGAAATCACCGGAGTCTTCGGCGCGTACGGTATCGCCGTGGACCCGAGACACCTGGGGCTGGTTGCCGACCACATGACCTTCGACGGCGGGTACCGGCCGTTGAATCGCGCCGGGATGGCCGACTTCTCGTCCCCCTGCCTACAGGTAATATTCGTTTTTTCTACTCCTGGCGTTTATTGGTTGAATCTCTTACCTGTTTTTTCTGTCGACGGCGCAATTGATGTTTGCCCTTTGTCAGGCCGTGGCTGATTGGTTTTTCTGTAGAAGGGTCTCGTAGGCGTAGTGGATTGGTTTTGTCTTGCCATGGTCATCGATGTTGGGGCTTCCTCGATGTATCGAGTGTGGGTGGAGAACGACCCATATCGCTGTCACCCCTTGCTATGATGCATGGTATGCTTCTGAATGTTACCCCTCCCTCTGCGCAGTGCGGTTGAAGCCGCGCTCTCGTGCCTACCGGTTGACAGGAACATCACGTTTAATTTTCTTCTAAATGTCTGATGATTGGTTTAACGTCTTCTCCCCCCGTTCTCGTCCCTTGCAGATGAGCTTCGAGACGACCACCGACTTCATGGCCAAGGCTGCCGTGGCCCGCTCCAGCGACCGGTTGAAGTCCCCGTCTGCTAGGATAGTGATGGGCCGGGTTGGGAACTTTGGCACAGGGATGTTCGATTTGCGACAGCCCGCCGAGTTTGGTGGGGTAGGGCAAGTTGGTGGGCAGGAGTAAACGCTGTTGTGCTTGATACTCCGGCGATTGTGCAGATGTAGAGTTCATAATGGAGTTCCGTGTGTTGTGCTGATGGATCATCTGGTGTATGCATACGTTGGTTGGTTCCTGTTTATTTCGTTCCACATTTTTAGATCTTGTTCCTCGTGTGCGTGGTGTGGTGTTGAGATAATTGTTGTTTTTTTTGTCTTCGTCTTTGCCGCCCCTCTGTTAAATTTTGACGCGGTTTGACAACGCGTTCATTAGACAATAACGAGTGTCCCGCAAGAGAACTTGAATCAAAACTTTGGACTTGTCAGTTGTCAGGGATTTGAGTGCCGTTTGCCGCACGCACAACCGATGTGCTCACAGCTGCTCTGCTCTGTTGGCAACTGTGCACTTGTGCATTAGCGAAGCATCCTAGAGACAAGCCGGTGCGTTGGTTCAGCTGTTCACAACGCTGTTACTGTTTAGGATTGACATTGCGTCAATAGTTCGTATTTGGAGGTATGATAGTTATTATGTTGAACGCCTCACCACTTAACAATCTTGCCGCTATAGCACAATGAATGTCGGAAGATTCGTGTCTACCGAAAAACAGTCAATCGAGCTTTCGCTCTCCGCTAACGCCAAGAATATCGAAAGAGTCGTCAGCTGGCAAGCGGTGTAACAAAAGCTTCGGTGCTGTTTCTGGCGCTCATATCCTTTTGAAGGCGGCATTGACTCCGATTTCGACAAGAACAACTAACAACGGGCAAAAGCCATCGAAGATCACGGGCCTAGGGGGGGGGCGATTTCGAAACCGCCATAGCTGCCAATGTCATCCTGTCAAGCTTCCGAGGGGATTGGGTTTCTCTGATGATAAAACCCTATGTGGACAGTGTTTTCCGCAGCAATCTAATGCTGCTGCCTTCTCTTGAGCCCTAGTCGGTCACCGTCACACGTTCTGGTGCAAGGTATCGCAAGTCCGTGCAGACTCCCGACGTAAAGATTTATTCTTGAGCTTTAGTTCGATCTTGGCGAACACCAACGGTGGCGCTGGACCCGTACGTGCTGATAGTTCGTTTATTGCCCAGTCAACATGGACTGCGAGGAGTGAGTGTAGATGCAACCAACTAACCTGAGAAAGCCGCTGCAAGTGCAATAGGCACAAATCACCCGCGACAGTTAGCCCTTCGGCGGGCAAAGACAAGATGTGCGATTGAACGGTGATTTTTTTTCGTTGGTTGTTTCCAGCTTCTGACCTTCCGGTGCTGTGTTGCTTTCGTGGTGAAAATGTGTCAGTATGTACCCCAAGCTTGCAGTATCCAGAGCGTTATTTTCTGCATGATCGTCTCGACCCTACCGACGGAGACACCGGTTACCAGTCGGGGACGGCTGACTAGCGAATGAATTAATGGTGACGAATGCACACACACGATCACTGAATAGCTAATACATCACACCAGATGAAAGATGATGTCCAAGCAAGAAGACAACGACGCGTACCTCAGCTTTAGCCGGCCGGCTGTTGCTTTGTTCTTCAATATACAAACAAGGAGACGACGTTTTTGTACGTCAGTCAGTTCATGTCGCGGCACGCCTTTGCGGTTGGGTGTATCCTACACGAAGACCCAAGGATGACACGCGTGCTGCGTGCAATCAATCTTCCGCAGGTTTCACTTCCCAACCATCGGACGGAGTCGGAACCAAGTTCGAGTGGATTCTCCGGTGCTCGCTCGTGCGATTTCATTACCATTTCCCGTCTGACTGAACCATAGCTATACCTCTAAACAGCAGTACAAGCACCGCATCGTAGTTCCTCTCCGCCCTGTTGCTTTGTGAATAATAATCTTCATTTGGTTGAACTCAAGTTTGATTTGCACTACTATATAGCACTGTACTACGGCCGGCCCTCTTTTTTGAACGTCGGCGAAAATCATCAGGAGTACTTAACTTGCGCATCTTTCTTAATGTTGTACCTCCCCAGCGCTAGCGCATAGTCTAGGCCTCCTGAATCACTTTGACAAGAACGTGGTACTTTAAACGATGAAAAAGAGTAAATAAATGAAACTACTGCCGAACGCCGAGGAGGGAGCGGAGAGAGGGGTTTGAACCAGTATCTATCGCCATCATCTGCTGCTACATACATACGATGATGATGATGGTGTTCGCGCCGAGAAAGTTTACATTAAAGGGTTGCGGCAGTAGTAAAGCGGGGCCAAGGTGGGAGTGAATGTGGGATCACTCCTCACGATTTTATTGATGATATATATATATCTAAATAATGCGAAATTCATGCACTTCAAGGAAAAAATACTACTACTACTGCACCTCGGCAATATGGCACGCCCTCCAGTCTCTCAAGGAGGGTGACATTTGGATCATTCTTGGGGGCATATCTCAAGCAACTACGTAGTACGTACGTACGTGTTGGTTTGGGCCGAACGACGGCTTATGCGACAGCTGCGGGCCGTTGGACCACATCCAAGGCGGTGTGGTGCGCGCTTTATCATTGGGCGCGGTTTCAGAAGGTTCCGAGCGATGTGGGTCGTCGTCGTAGCTTTAGTCTAGCCCTATTTACGACACCGTAGGTGCTCTGACCACATTCATTCATTAGGGGCCACGTTGGTTTGGGCCGAATGACAACTTGTCCAACAGCTAGGGCCCGTGAGAACAGAGCGCAGTTGGTTTCGTGCCCATCATCGGAGGTGGGTTCGAAGAGTTTCGGACGGTGTCGCAGATAAGCCAATTAAGCCTATATCTGCGACACCGCCGAGGTCTGGCGCCGTGACACCATATTGGGGTATCTACCTTGGCAACCACCGGTCACTTTTGGACGTACGAGGGCTTTCGTGACAGCTGAGACCCGCGGCCACACAGTGAAGGTGGTTTCGAAGCAGTTCGAGCGGCGAGGCAATAAAGTACTGTATTGCCGAAAATAAAAGAAGTCCAGCGCCACCATTTATTTCACGTGCGTGCGTAGAGGTAAATAAATATAGACGATGATGTTGGAGTGTGAGAGCGAGAGGGAGACAGACAGACAGACAGACAGACAGACAGACAGACAGACTCAGAGGTATGCCGAGAGGCGGCTCTGCCTCGGTGCTCTTAGCAGAACAAAGTTAATGTCCGAGTCCGTCAAGCTTTCTTTCGAGCCACGAACACGTCCCACCAGGGTTGCCATCCCTGCGATCAGCGCTGTCTTGCCCGATCCATGATCGGCCTGATCCATGATCGGTGTACCATGTACAACAAGAGATTCATCGGCATATATTGCGAAGTCCATGACTTTTCCCACAAACAAACGTAGGGCGCAAATAAAATCATCGTGCTTCTTAATTAACAGCGTACACTTTGATAGGTTCATCGTTGAGAAGACGCGCCGCACGCCTACCAGGGCGCGTGGACGAAGCATTGCATGCGGGGGGGGTTCGTTAGGTTTCCGTACAAGGAGAACCATGCCATCATCATTGACATGCCAACGGCCTTCAAAGGTCAATCAATTCGCGGATGTCTGAAAACGAGGGTCGACGATGTTGACGGAGAGGGGTCTAGAAAAAAGGTGGCAAGGCCGAAGGTTGGCGGGGTTGAAGGTAGCGGATGGTGGCATCACACACCGGTTCGCTTCGTTGTTCTTGCGACCAATTGGAGTGAGAAAATTTTCGACGGATTCACGGAAGTCGGGCTCGGCGCGCAAGGGCGCAACACCCTCGACGGGCGGTGGGACAGCCGAAGATTCAAGCAACGACCCTGACGTGGGCACCGATGGCGACGCACTCACGCGAGCGGTGGCTGGCAGAACCGGGCCCGAGGGTGTTGGAATGACGGGATGACGGGGTCGATCGGTCGGCGATCCGACGTTACGGGTAAACGAGGTGCAGCAACCATAGGGTTGGTCACAGGAGGTTCATGAGACGTGGTCTAAGGCTCCGAGAAGCCATAATCAACAGGGGGACTAGGAACACCGGCGCAGCTGCTGTACGCCGACGAGCCCGTGTCGAGACAACTTCGATTGGGTCAAGAGAGCGCGGGTGCGAGGCTCCATGGGAGGAGACACAAACGAACACGCGGCCGCCCCTTTCTTCCACGGGAAGAATGCCAGCACTGAGCAAGACGGGATGGTCGGACGCAACCGAGGCAGGACGGTTGCGAGCAGCCGTAGAACGCAAGGCACCGACGACCGTGGGCGGCAACTCCGGCACCAACCAGGATCCCGAAGAAGTCAGGGGTATTTACCCCTACACGCGGGCGGTGTTCTCGAAAGTCAACAAAGTCAGCGGAGAAGGCCGTAGTCCACCCAAGACAGAGAGAGCTCGGAACAGCCGGAAGCAGCCCACCCAAACCAACCCCGATATGGGTGCCGGAAGGCACAAGACCCCAAGAACGGATGGAATACACTGCTTCGTCGTCGGTCGTGGAGTCAAACGACTGCGACCATAACAGTCACACGCTCAGTAGCTTCTAGAGGCATTAGAAAAAAATAAGCCAGCGTCACCATTCGCAGAACCTTTGGGGTACTCAAAGGTTCAAGTGTAAGCGGGACGAAACTCTGGCGTTGGAAGCGGGCATTGTTCTCACCAACCTTTACCATATGCTCGAGAGACGTGTGGTGGGTGATATTCTTGAAATGGGTACCCCAGAGATCGTGTAATATAATGCACGAAATTATGCCGCCGGATTCAAGATCAAGTGGAGTCCAACGTACGCAAGCGAAAGGTCGAATAGAATCATCAGGCTGCCCAAGAGTTTTGCCAAACCCATCACGGTTCGCGAGACAATAAAGGCGAAAAGGCCGCGACCCGTCAGAGACTGCACCCTGGTCTGGGTAAACCAAAACTGGCGGAGTTGCTACTTCGGCAAGAAATTGTGGAACGGCGGACTCCATGACATCCGTGACCTCAAACCACTCGTTCTTCTTGAAAAGAACAGCAAGACGACGGACGGACGCGCTTAGCCGTCAGCAGAACGAACTCCCGGTAGTAACTCAGACCACCAAGGAGAGCGGGAAGCTGCTTGGCGTCTTTGGGCATGGGTGTTTTTGGCAAACGCAGCAACTTTTGCCACCGTTAGGCCGAACACCTCCTGGAGAGATGGTGCGCCCAAGAAATTCTGCTTCCGTCGCGCCAATAGACTAATGGGTTTGGGAGGCGTCAATTTCAAATTGTGCGGACGCAATCTTTTACAAAAAGCACGAATGGTCGCTAGATGAGCAGCCGAGGTCTCATCAAATCCAATCAAATCTTCCGGAGTAGAAGCGACACCGCGAAGGTTTTTGATGCCTTCGCTGACGACCTCACAGAACCATCCAGGAACAGCAGAGCTGCTTTGAGGAACATTTTCAACCATCCAAAAAGCCCAGAAGACGAAACAAACGGGTGATCGGATGGTATCGGAGAACGGGACGAGAGCAAGCCATTTCTTCACAGTCGACGACGCCAAATGTTGTGAGGTTTACTCTGTACACGTGTAGCAATGCCTGAGAAGACTCACATTTAGAGTGTTTCTTGGTTATCTCAACGACAGTACTTACTTGCGGTTTCCTTGCTTCCTGTAGATTGGACAGAAGGGGGGGGATCGGACCCTCCTTGCAGGGAGGGGCTGCTACGGCAATATCCCCTATTGATAACAATCCTCGGGAGTTTCAGCTCCCGCCAGAACCTGAAAAACTTTCCTAGAATTACCGTTTCTCAACTCCCGTAACCTCCTGTAGAACAACATTTTTCCTGCATTATTTGATGAACACGCAGCTCTCAAGCGTCAGGTTGATTCCTCCCAGAAGAATAGACCTGTGTATTCTGTATGGCCCCCCCGGCGAAGAAATACGACGAGCAAGAACCCCGTTTATCATTGGCGCATGCCTGCTCGATAAAAGATTTATACAAGAACAGGCGCTCGGTTTGAGGCAGCCAATAAGCATCGCCCAAAATGAGCGGTTCTCATTGGCGCATGCCTGCTCGAAACAAGATTTATACAAGAACAGGCGCTCGGTTTGAGGCAGCCAACAAGCATCGCCCAAAATGAGCGGTTCTCATTGGCGCATGCCTGCTCGAAACAAGATTTATACAAGAACAGGCGCTCGGTTTGAGGCAGCCAATAAGCATCGCCCAAAATGAGCGGTTCTCATTGGCGCATGCCTGCTCGAAACAAGATTTATACAAGAACAGGCGTTCGGTTTGAGGCAGCCAATAAGCATGCCCAAAATGAGCGGTTCTGAAGTGCGGGTGCTACTGTACACGACGACGACGCCGTAGCCTGTGTGACGTCCTTGCACGTGCAGAGATGTTGTTGCTCAACACCACCCGCACGCGCAAACACGTCACACAACATTACTTGGAATTGTTCCCTACTGCGGTACATACATGTAGACTATCACAGTCTCTCTTAATCCACAGAAAGGCACCGCGGACGAGAGAATAGGCAACGACAGCACTATCTCAGCATTCGCCTCGGAACTTTCTGTGTCGCAACGCCCAACCTTGTTGCGCGAAGCACTCGAAACAATCCAACACACGAAGCAGTGCCGACGAGCATGTCGAGCAACAAGATCGCCATAATACACGAAGCGAAAGGAGATGGAAGCCTGGGCGAGGCGAGAGCCTTACTGAAAGCCGGGGGCATCAAAGACAACGCAGACGCTGATCAATGGACCCCGCTCATCATGGTGTCTGTCAGAAAGGGACAACTCGAGGTGGCTCAACAACTAAGGCGGCGCTGGAGGCGGAAGACGGGGCGCAAGTGAACTGCAATGCACGTCGCGGCTGCCAACGACGATTCGCGGTGCTGCCAGCTGCTGCTGGACCGAGGGGCAAACCCTCGGGCCGTCGACGAGAACTGGCGCACGCCGCTTACTCATTGGGCTACAATGTATAGTCTTTCTGCCAAACTACTGGATGCCTGGTAAGGCTGCATAGGTAACTGCCAACAATTTCCGCCCGTCCCCGTAGATTGCTGTTGATGTTCTCTCTTTGACCAAAACGAGACAAAAGTTTATGCGTTCAATTGTGTCCGTGAATTTGAAGGCAACACCCACTCGAACCGTTCCTCCAATGAAGAGGATTTTTTCCTGGCGTGTGAGGCGTCGGGTGCTCGCTGGGGTCCCGAGGGGAAGTAGTACCAGCTGCAGGTTTTTCGTGGATATCGGCGGTCAGCTCTCTCTGAATTATTCCCCCTTTCGCCGTGCGGGGGCACGCCAGCCTTCGATTGCCCTCCAACTGCCACAACACGCACGAGAAACACGCATGAGAAAAATAGGCATGGGTGAGGACGAACCGGCAGCTGACTTTCGAATAGGTGATCTCGAGCAGAGCTCAGGGAGAACGAGGGTGTTGTTCACGGTTTTTAGTTTTTTGACAGGGTCACAGTGCGGTGCCGTCTGGTTTATTCAACTCGAAACTTGACGGCGCGTTGCGGTGCGGTGTTCCCGAAATGTGACGGTGCGGTTCGGTGCGGCGCACCGTCGCACGGTTTTTCATACGGGGCGGTTTTAATACCCCGTGAGAAAAACCGCGCGAACCGCGGCCTTGGTGGCGGAGTGCCGTCGAAGAAAATAACCCAAGTACCACGGTTATCCGTGACAAAATGACGGGGTATCTACGATTTCGTGGAATACGTTAGGTTTAGTCCATCGAAAGAATTTTTAGTGCATGTTGTGCTGTGCATGGAGGCCGCCAACAACAACTTCTGCGCCCTTGCGGCCAGAGGATAAACCCGAAAACCCCAGACACAATTGAGAAGGCGCTGCTGCTGTTGATTCATTCCATTCAACTTCACTCATTTACGTTCCTACAACAAGCACGAACAGCAGCTACCCTCCTCACTGCCTCTACTGCTGTTGGAACTGTTGGAACTATTCCAGTACAAATAGCAAGCACAACAAGAATAGTTTCGGCAGCACCAGGCGGTTCATGTTCACAACCACCCCAAACGCGTCCCTTCTACACTCAGTCAGAGCCGACCTCGACAACCACTTAGTCTCCCCCACGAACAACTCAATTAGACAGATAGATACAGATTTGCCTGACATGCGTCCGCATGGGAAAAGCGTGGCTTATCTGCGGTTTATCGCGGTTTTACCGCGGTTTACTGAGATTTTACGGCGGTTTTGTTTGGGCAACGGAGAAGGACAAAATGCCCCGTGACAAAAACCGTATCAACGGTGCCTTCTGAATACCCGCGGTGCAGTGCAGTGCGGTTTTGTTCATCTCGAAATGTTACGGTGCGGTGCGGTGCTGTGCGGCTTTGTTCGTCTCCAAATTTGACGGTGCGATGCGGTGTGGATTTTTTCGTCTCGAAATGTGGCGGTGCGGTGCGGAAGAAAACGAGCCTTGAACATCCTTGGACGTTTCCGTGCGGGCGGATCTCCGGTCTGGAGCGAATAATCAACATTATCGTTTATCAGTCAGTAGGCAACTTCCACGGTTGTTTGTGTCCGAAGAGTGCGTTGAGATGCGCTAACAAAGAGGAAAAAGCAACTCTGTGACGGGCTATGTTCAGAGCAAATTCATTCAGACTTGATTTGTTCTGATATCTGCCGACTGATCGCATTACCCCTGCAAGTCCTTCGCCCCCGTTCGGAAAAACGTACCGCAGACATTCTCCCCTTGATCAATGATTCAGTTTCCGCCACCAGTTCGTCTCTCCGTGCCGCACCCGGCCCGCTAGCGGTTGCCGGGGGCGATCTTGGTGTCTCGCCGAAGGCCTCCTCCTTGGGAATATCCGGGTAGAGCTTCTTGAGTTCAGGGATCCGTCTCACGAAATCGTGCAACGACGCGTAGCAACGCATGCCCCCCTTCTCCGCCTGGATACAGCAACGACCCCCCCATTTGACCTCCACGAGGGAGTGCTTGACGCTCAGGGAGCGCCGGCCCGGACTCACCTGGAATTGTTGTAGCACGATGAGCAGGTTGATCGGACTGGGTGAGCGCGAGTTGGGTGGGCGCCACATCGAAAAACCCTGTTGCCTAGCAAAAGAACCAGCGGGTCGGCCTGCTCAGGGAAACGGAAGTCACAAGTACGCACCTGCCCTGCAGGCAACAAGCAAGCCTTCCCGCACACGAAAAGAGTGGAACCAGACACTGTGGAACACGCGAGAGGCGGGAAACGCTCACCGAAGGTTGTGTGAAGCTGATGACCAGCGCGCCCATTTTACTCTCGCTGAACCTCAGTAAGAACGTCCCACACTCCCTTTGCATCAGCAGTCTCTTCGCCGCCAGCCTGCTCATAAAGCCATGCACCCTGACGGGACGCGTCCTTGCCCAGTCGTTCCTGATTATGCCCAGCGTCGATATTAGCGGAGCCCACCACTGCGAGAACTTCGCGAACGCCTCCACCGAGATGAAGTCGTAGCGGCAGCCCCCATCAACTTCCGGACATTCATCCCCCGTCGCTCCCCACCGCGCCCTGGCCACCGCCTCTTGTCCGCGACGAAGAATGCCGCGGATGAATTCGAGCTGTGGCGTGTCCGCGACGCGCCCGTGTGGGGAAATGATGGGGTCGTCCCAGTTCCTTGTCGTCTTCGTCCCTTCCCTGAGGTGCTCCATCAGGCTCTCCTGGAGGCACTCCCACGACACGAGTTTTCCCCTCCTCGAGGACCACCCACCGCCGCTACCGCCGCCGTCGTCTTGTCGGCAGCCACCCGCCATCCTTGACGTGGCGGTGACCCAGACGAGGCGACAACCTCGGTCGACCACTCCCGCCGCCCTGGCCAGATCCCGGGTGCGCTGCTCCTCCATGTCCATCTGGGGGGATTCGGGTTCGTCGTCCGGTGCCTCCTGCGCCAACACCCGACGGTGATCCTGGAGTTGCTGGTGGAGGAGGGAGTGTGGAGGAGGCTGCGGCGGGCCGTGCCACTCGGGGTTCCTGCACCTCGCCGGCGGGCTGCTGCTGTGGGCCCTCGCGGGGCCTTCTCTCACCGTTTCGTTCGGCACAGGCCGGACGGGGCTCGTCATCCCCGCCCGTCCACCGCCTCCGCTGCCGCCGCCGCTGCTGCTGTCGCGCTGCAAGAATCTCGTGTCGCCACGGTTGCGTTGATCGTGGGTATCGCCGAAGGCGGGCCCCATTGGGCTGAGTATCATCGGCGATCTGGGTGCACCCGTGCTACTGGACAGGGTCATGGTCACGCTAAGCTCTCCTTTGCTGCTGACTGCAGTACGGTTGGAGTTCGGGCGGCCGTACCTTCTGCGTCTGTATGATTTATCTCTGAAGTCTGCGCGGCATCTTCTCTCGGAAATGGTTGAGGGGTTCGAGGATTAACCGCCCGGCAATGTCGTCAAGGGAGATCGAGGCACATATTGGAGGGGCGACGGGCGACGGGGATTGCGTCTTTGTCTCAGATGGCAAGTGGGGTAAGAAAGTACGCGGTGGCAAGCCCAGACGTGGGTCATACCAACTCTGCTGCACGGGGGTGGTGCCTGAGAAAGGGGATGTTTGTTGGACGCGAACCGCTCACACCCTCAAGATTGCCACTCTTCGGAAAGGCTGCCGATTGTAGCGAGGTCCCAGTTATAAGCGACTTTTGTCGCGCCCAAGAGCAACAGCCACTCAAACAACCTCCAGACCATGACTCTCGCTGCAACAACGACTCGCCTAGTCGTCATCTCTTTCAACCTGCAAGCGTCGTCCAGAGACCCGTCGAGGAGTACCGGAGCAAGCCGCACCTGAAGGAGAACAGAAGAACACAAGCGGTCGGTCGCGCGAGCACTCAAGACAGGTGAACGTGATTTGTAAACACGCCGAATTCTTTCAAGCCGCATAGGGACACCCAATGTCGCTGTTGGTTTCAAGAGGGATTCGTTCACGACAGAGAAACAGAGATGCCGACGAAAACGCTCGCTGGCGCCATATCTCAACCCCTCTTTCTCCTCCGCCCACGAGAGCGGTCGGTCACCAGCAAAGCAAAATTGGGTTCTCCTCTCACCAGCGTCCCCGGGTGACCCTCGGCAATCTCCAACACCTCCTTGAGGACCGGGTGATTTTGCACCGCGGTCAGGACGTCGGCGAGCGAGAGGCCGCCGCTCTCGAGACCGAGCTCCGTCAGCTCCAAGTTCCGCGGAAGGTTGTCCATCAGCAATTCCGAGGCGTGCCGGGTCTCCAGGGGCTCGACCCTGGCCACCGTCTCGGTGCCGCCGCGGAAGCGCTCGTGGCCGCTCAGCAGCTTGTGCTCGCTCGTCGCGAGCAGCTTCAGGTGGCCCCCATCGCCGATGGAGCAGAGGTTGCACAGGAGTTGTACGAGACGGTCCTGGGCGTCTCCGTCCCGCTCGAGCAGCGAGTCGACATTGTCCAGCACCAGTAGGACCTGAATGGAAGCAGGGTCAGGCCGCGAGGACGGGACAGAGAGAGACGCGCGATAGCAGCAGCGGAAGCACACACGGTGGGAGATTAAAAAGACGAAAAATATGTCGAACACAATCGGTAGTACCGATAAGTAAGGCTTTGATTGTAGCAGGTGCCAGAACCAAAAGTGCAAACCCACGCCAACCAAAATCCCACGCCAACCAAAATCAACAACAAGACACGCAGCCGCTACCCGGCAACACCACGCACGATCAGAAGAGAGCCACCATGTCACGATGATGCACTTCCACGAAAAAGGCGATACCCGCGTTAGGCCTCACCTTCTGGAAAGGCTGCCCCGAATCGGTGTTGGGGTTGTTGAAGATGAATTGATGCAACTCCTGCTCAGAGGTCGGTCCAGGCTGGGGCATGCCAATGGCGAGCCCAATCTGCGAAGAATGCGTCGTCGTCGGGCATCCAAGAGAGAGACGGCAGACAGTTTTCCAAGTGAACATGCAAAACGGGTGAAGAAGCACCGTGTCGCCATCAATGCGAGTTCTAGTTCGGTGAAATGTTCTCCTCGCTCTCTCTCTCTCTCTTTCTCTCTCTCTCTCTCTCTCTCTCTCTCTCTCTCGTTGTCTCTCTTCTCCCCTGCCGTCCTCGTAAAGTCCTGTTTGCGTACCCCCCATCCCCGTCTACACGCGCCCCCGAGACGGCGTCGAGAATCGAGAACCATCAGCAAGGGAACGCCCCAAAACGATGGAGGATGGTCATCAAACGGCACAGCAGGTGATACCGACCAACAACCCCACGAAAGGAATGAACATCATGAACGCCCTCCCGCCGATGAATTCCCTGCGAACGAACGATCAGCGAATGCCGCAGACAACATGCGAAGCCCCATCGAGACAACATGCGAAGTCCCATCGGCATAGCCGTTCCGAACAAAGGAATTAATGAAAAATCATCACCGAAAACACGATGCCTGTACCCCAATCCTCCCTCTCATGCGGGGCCTCACCAGCCGGCAGGGGTCTTCCCAGGCAGAATCCTTCAGACAGGTTGGGAGGGCAAAGAACGGGTTGCCGGACTTGTCGGAGCAGGAATTCAAGGCGGCCTTGTCGCAGTCCGCCCACAGGAAGCAATCGAAGCGGTGCCTCTCCCTCACGTAGTCGCAGGCCTGGATGGCCCGCTCCGTCTTACCGGACCCGGGCTCGCCGGTGATGGTAACGCACGCCGCTCTCTCGTCCAGCAACAATCTGACCACTTGCTGCGTCATTTCGTCATTTGAGACATGATTTGGTCGATGCGTGGGTTCGGTCGCTTGTTCTTGATTTGGTCGTCGCCTTTTGAGACTGCGGTATTTTGGCCCTACACGTGCACCTAGGGGTTATATCGCAATCGGTGTGATTTTACGGCTACCAGAATAGCTTTGAGACAACTGGGAGGGGCGAGTTGGAAGACAGCAAGCTGGCGGGTTGGCTCGGGTGTTCCCGGGGCTATCTATCGTCGGCGTCTTCGGGAAGCACGGGTAGCTCCGAATGCCGCAGCCCTTCGCACAATGCTCTCAGAAGCTGTTGACGGCAAGCATGGAGGAACAAACTGGCACGGCAAGGCCACAAGTTAAACCAACCGCCACGAACCTGGAGCCCCGCCAGACCCTTATAGGATGGTACTGCCTTCTTGCAGGGGGGTCGGGGGGTCGGGGGGTGGGTCTCGTCTACCAGTTGCCCTTCCGGAAGCGTTTCAAATATTCTGACATCGTGGTTCCCGCCTGCATGCGCGCGAACAGCGGGTGGAAGTGCGGGGGGCATGTGGTTGCTCCATACGTGTTGATGTCGACGAATAAACAAGCTGTTCATCCGAGGTACACAGCTCAATGGCGACCCTTTCGGGAACATTCCAACAAAGCACAAACAAAACGAGTTCGGCAATTGTGATTGTCTACCTCGTGTTGATCGCCTGATATAGAGCGCGAAATCAAAACTCTGGGAAAGTTCCTGGATTTTTCTGTTATGCAAACGACAACAACAACGCTGAACCACGAGTGACTGATCTTCGGATCCTGCGCCGGGAACCGCAGGTGCGGGGAAACAGCCTCTCTCTGAAGACTCTGCGGTAGTCCAAAACTTCTTCTTGCCTTCGGGGAGAAGGACAAAGTGGCCCCCCGCGTGTTTGTTGGGTGCGCTAGAGTGTGTGGCGTTGACGAAGTTGAGGGCGATGTCGAATGCCTGTTTCACCGTGTATCTCCCACCGTTCTCGAAGAGCGCATCGTAGAAGACGGTGGAGAAGTGCCGGGCCTCTTCGTCTACAAAAATGGATAGACGATAAACAGGACGGACGAAAAACCAGACAATGCTGGTGTCAGGGAGGGTGCGTCGTTGAAAGATTTTCCCACAAAACACAGCGGCAGCGGAGCAGGCAAGGGCGACACGCCGCATTCACGAGATCCTGTTAAATAGGGGGGCTTCGAAAGTATGCTTTGTTCTGGTGGTCGTTTTAGGCACGAGATGATATCGGTAGAGAATAGACGGAATCTGCAGCATTGTCGTGCCAACTTGTTACACATTGCCTTTACCTCTTCATCTCGGGTCCATCTCTGCCAAAGGACCTACTACCGACTGCTGTGGTTGCGTGTTGACCGTACGCCGTAATTTGTGCGCAATAAGCTAACCTGTCACGTTCGCTTTGTGCTTGACGGCGACGACGTGCGGCACGCCAGCCTCCACGCAGGCTCTACCGCTCATCTCCGAAGAACACGAGCTGATAAACACCAGCTCCGTCCGCACCCCGCCAGCCTGAAACAGGTTACTCAGAGACGCCACCTGTGTAGCGTGATGTAGCTTAATATTGAGGGCAGCGCTATATGACCATGTCTGGTGCGGTTGCGTGGCGCTTTGCTGTGGTTATTCTGCACAAAAGGGAAAGAACAACGACGCCGAACAACGGTGAAACTACAAAAAGCCTCAATCAATCGCCAGCTAATCCGACCTCAAGAGGCTCCATAATCCCGCAGTTCCAATCACGCCCTGATTCGAAGGCCAGGTACTTGTCGTTGCCCTGACCCGCGAAGTGCAACATCCGGCAGCCGGACTTTAGGAGCCTCGATAAGTTAATGATGTTGGCCACTTCCGCACGAAATCTGATTTGGCGGCCACTTTCGCGCAGCATATTTCGAATCAGTTCCAGTTCCTGGTGGGTCGGGAGGTTCGACGCGAGTTCGAAGAGGTGTCAGGTCACGGGAGCTCTAGGCTGGAGTACGATACTATTCGTCTTTCTTGTGCTGTGGTAGAGGTCGTTCCTTGTGCTACTTGCTTAACCTCAGAGGACTAGGAATCTAGGCAAGTGGTCGGTGGGTTTCTACAAGATATACCCGCCCAGATGATATCGTAGTCCAACGCATAATCACTCTATGACCGGATGTTGAACCGTAGCTACTCCCCATCCGAGGACTGACAGGAACGCTCTCAAGATAGTATTTTCCTCTAGAGAGAAAGCGAGATCTCGAAGTCCAAGCTCTAGGGTGCCCGGTGGCTCGTTTCAAATGTGGGCGGGGTGCTCACCACCGCATTTCCGTATGCCCCTAGCGAGCGTAGGAGCCTCCGCCTCGTCCCTCTACTAGTTAAATCGAGGCGCTTGCCGGCATGCTTTCTACTGCCGTACTCTTGGTGGCATGTGCTCTTCACGCGAGCGTTTCAACGATGCCCACAAAACCAGCAATACTGCTCCTGGTATTTCTGCTGGGTGCCGTATAATACACATGTAGTTGGTAGCAGCTAGTGGTGATTATGCGTTCCCTCTTGCTCAGTGTTGCCTGGGAGTGAGCCATCGCGAACGTTGGAGAGATAGAGGAAGGATAAGGAAGGAACCGGACTGAAACGGATCCGCTAACCTGCACACAGTGGTCGGATCCGCTCTACGCTGCACAAACTTCACCACAGAGTCACTGGCGGACCGTAAATAGACCTCGATAGAGGGGAGGGTGAAGGACGAGTTCTAAAGACCGAAAAGAGTACTGGGATGGGGCTTAACCCTCTGGGTCTAGGTTTAGGTTTCGACGTTCAACCTGTATTTTTCCACACCGCAGAAAAAAAAAGAGACGGAAGTCAAGTGCGGAAGTGCAGAAAAAGACACACAAAGTCTGCTTCTGTAGACGCAACAGCTACCTCCACCTATAGGCCATGCGGGCAGCCCGCGGCAGGGTGGAGGCCACAGACAGAGTCAATGAAGGGTTGATGGATGGTCGCGCTACGGCCGCTAGGGCAGTCGTCAAGCTTCTTAGCCACTCTATTTTCAGCATGTTCTGTCTATAGCATACGCCGCTATGCTTGCGACCGTCGGTAGATTGGTTTGTCACAATTGTTGGCTGTTACACGCCATTGGATAGCCATCATTAGACAAGCAGTTGCCTCATGACGAAATCCCTGTGAGACACGCTGATGTTTTGCACGCAGCAGACTCTGTCTATAGCATACGCCGCTATGCTTGCGACCGTCGGTAGATGCCTGCGAGAGGCTTCAAGACCCATTGCTGGTGCATGCACTTACTTCTCTGTTCCCCCCTGATGTGCGCCGTGCTGGCTCGCTAGAGCTCCTGTTTTCCCCTACAAATCACACAATCACACAAGCACACCAGGTGCACCGGCACACCAGCACACACCAACCTACGTAGGTTCGGGCAAGGGTATGTGTGGACCTTGATGTGTACAGTAGTCAATACTATTGTGCAGGGTTGTTCACGGAGCGTTTTTTTTCTACGGAGCGGGGCGGAGCGAAGCGGCTTGGACCCCTCCGGTCCGTGAGATTTCCAATCAAACAAAACCGCTCCGTGATATGAGCAACACAAACCCTCCACCCCGTGAGAAAGCTGTCCTCGGATTTACCGCTCCGCTTCCCTGCGTGAGGTTTCCCAACAATACATTCAAGAAGCTTTTTCACGGAGCGTATGAAGCTACTCTGTCGCATTAGGTAACCACGATAAAAACCGCAAAATCCTCGGTTAAAACCGCAATACAAACTCGGTTTTACCACGGGGTCACGGTTTTTGCGCGGCGCGAGTCCTACATAACATATGTGTGTGCACGGGCTTCCGCGTATGTACACACCCACATGTAAAAACGTGAAAAAATAAAAATCGTGCGCAACTTGCGCCCCCCCCCCCCACACGCACACAACGTACGTACACCTTTGCATGGACAATTGACAGCACTTGTTGCCAATAGGGGAGAGGGGGGTTGCATGGCTGGGGTTCGTGGAAAACCATCGTTGGCAGGCAACGACGACCGACCGTGTCAAGATGGTTATGTCATCATATGTCGAAGCCCAATCTTATTCCGGAGATGAAGCAGCAGTTGAACCGTATGACAATGTATGCATCTGTTGGGAAGACTAAAGCTGCAACTTTCCGAGCTGCTCGTGCGAGAGAGCAAGTGGTTCCCGCGAATCTGATTGAGTGTAGCAGGGACGTCAGTATCTGGGCGTAGAGTGGTGAACAAAAAGTGAGACTTGGAGACGCCTGGTGTTACCCAACACCAGCATGATGGCGAGTTCCAACAAGAGAGAGAGGCCAGTCGTGAGGAATAAATAACTGCTGCTGTTTGGTACATGTCGCAGGAAAGAATAGGTCGAGGAGGTATATCCATGTGGGCAACGATCCCTTCACCTGATGCCTACAAACAAACTGATTCGCATTTCAATCTTTCGGGCTGTTCTGGTGTCACGGGGCGACCTCCACACACAGCCCCTACCGTGCAGAAAATTAATTTTCGATGTATCATACCAAAAAGACAAAACGTATTGCACGAAATCGCAGGTACTCCGTCAAAACGTACGGATCTCCGAATGATTTCGGCGTTTTTTTCTCACGGTGCCCTGCTGTTTCTTGTCAAGACCTCAGTTTCGCGCGGTTCATGCTACGGAGGAAATCGCCCCCCCCCCCCCCCCTTCGAAAAACAAAACGTGCCACGGATTAACCGCTCCGCTCCGTGAGACTGGTCCCCTTCGGAAAAACCGCTCCTCTTCTCGCCCGTGATAAGGTTTTCGGTGTAGTTTCCAAATTCCAATTTTCCATTTTTTTTTCCTAGGCCGTAAATCGAGGATGGATATATTTGGAAACCAATTTGGAAGATTTGTAAGCAAACTCTATGTGAAAAAAATCTCCGAAACATCATCGGCCGAAGGCAAACAAACACAGTTCGGTGAAAAAAAAAGGACAAAACGCCCCGCGGAACGGTTTTTTACTGCTGTGAAAACCCTGTTGTTCTTGTTTGACTTGCTACACTGCTGCTGTAGTGTAGCTGCTAAAGACGACTGCTGAATCTTGGGAGTGTACGGGATTGACGCAGCTATTTTTGGTAGTTTACCACGACATCCTGGCTTCGCTTGAAATACCGCCCCTTTTGCAACCCGCCGTTCTTTGGAACAGGCGGTGGCTCCCTCGGTTTGGGCGAAGGTACATGTGGAGTGCTGTGATGTGTGTCTCTGTGAAATATTAAATATTAGACTTGTAGAGAGATCAATTTTAGCGCATTTTTCGAATTTGGCCCGCTCCCGAGACGACCTTGTTTTTGCCGACGTTGCCACTGTGACTTTTCAATTTAGTCAGCGGGTTACATAGCGCGGTCAATGCAAATTAATGAAGACACACAATCACTTCCCAATATCCGGCGTGAAGGGCTACAGGGCGGCAACTCCACGGCTTGCCACTACACCAGCATTCGCAAAACGATCAATCTATGATCAACCAGTTCTCCTGAAAACCCAAAAGGGCGGCGCAGTTTCGGACCCATGTACCTGGCACTGTCCGCATCATCCAATCAACAGGCAGGCATCGTTCTATTTCGTACCACTTTTTTTTGGGAAATACTTTTCAGAAATTTCTCAGCGATGATGAGCGACAACCGAATTTTCTGTGCGCGTGGCGTGGAGGCGAGTCTTCCGTCGACCCGGTTTGCGCGATATAGCAATATATTTGGCGATTCTCCAATGCCGTAGGGCGCGCGAGGTAGGGGCATGAATCACAGAAAGGCTACCCGTTCGAGATACAACTATGCATACTGCCGTAGACTACGTAGTCTTGAATGCCCCAGTCGGATTTGGGGCTTGAGCAACGAAGTAACGAAGTACGAAAGAAGCCTCAAAGAATATAATGCGTTGTGTGACGTCAAGAAACTGGACGTTTTTCCAGACTCCCTAGAACTCAACTCTCTCTCCCCAGTGGAGCGCGTGGTCAGTAAACGTACGGCTGGCCAGGTCAAGGCACCTCGAGGCGATCAGATGATGATGGCTGCGGTGGAGTTGCATGACTTGGCAACTTTGTGACAAATGTTCACGCACGCACCTGATCCGTCCGCAAAACCGGCAGCTCCAAAAACTTGGCACCAGTAATACCGTTCTCCGTCAACTGCACCAAAGGCGCAGCGTGAATGTATCCCAGCCTAACTGTCTCTCCTGTACTCGGGCGCGCCAAGATAGGGCTCCCGCGGTGGCTCAGCTCCATAGTTCCAGCTAAACAGGAAGGGTAACAGAATGGTGCTGCTGTAGTTGGTGCTCGCTGATGCTGCATGTCGGTTCGTTGCAACTAAAGAATCGAAGGTTCCTGAGTTCTGAATATACAATTGTTTGCATGGCGGACAAACTTCTCTCATGTTGTTCCCCAACCTGGGAATTTGCGATTTTTGGAATTTTCTTCCTTTGGGCTTGCCCGGCGAGGTTGAGAGCGAGCGGCTGTTTGTTACAAAATCCGTTTATTCCGTCGACACTCGCCGGGTTCTGTGAGCGATGAGCGAGGTGTTCTTTTGACAAAGCCTTCGCCCCCGCCAATATGAAACCGCGAAATGTCCACAGCACAGCATTACATCCGCAAAAAATATCGTCAGTGCTTCGCACGTTGGCATGTTACACAGCAGTAGTGCATGTATCAGAGTTTCGTGGAATTGAGTGAAACATGGCGTAGTCTATGTAGACTATGTAGACCAGACTACATTATTAATTATGTGTAGTAGTTACGACTATACAGCAGCAGTACTTGTACGGGTCTTGAGGTAAACGTCAAATAATCCGGTCGAGGCTCAGTTTCTTATTTCGTCACTACCCTGTGTCGAGCACAGGCTGTGCAGTACAATAGATAGTGTACTTCAGTAGACTATATCGTCATATTCTTGGTGGAGATTTGAGCTTCGTCCGTCATACTACAGTACGTGTACAACTCACTCCCAGTGGTTTAAAGTTGATTCTGCTGGTCAGCCGTAGAGGCTCGGAACGTGCCAAAGGAGGGCGACTCGGTCGCCCTCCTTAGGAATAATATCTGTCTCTACTTGGTAACAACATCTGTCACTCACTACATAGGCAACGCTTCACGATACACTGCATAAACCCATCCATGCAATAGATATAGAGTCGTTCTTGTACCGCAATTACTCCAACACTATGTGTAAACATTTTTCACTACTCGTACAGCCCAATGAACCCCATCGTT